GCAAATTTTGAAAAAATTCCCTCGAAGAAAAAATCAAAAAAAATCAAAAAATCAAAAAATCAAAAATCCAAAAATCCAAAAATCCAAAAATCCAAAAAATCAAAAATCCAAAAATCCAAAAATTAAAAAATCAAAAAATCAAAAAAATCAAATCAAGTTCTCACGTCAGGTTCGGGTTTGATCCCACTGTCCGATTGTCAAGACATTTCATTTTCACCGCCACTGAAGCGTGGGTTTGTCCCACTAGTGTGCCTTTCAATTTTCATTTGCACCACTAACAAACATGGGTCAGTCCCATTAACACTTCATTTCACTTCTTTCATTTGCATCACCAATAAACGTGGGTCTATCCCAATTTTAAATTCTTATTCGGGTCAGTCCCGTGTTAGAATTCCTGTTCGTTGGAGTCTTTTGCAGCCCAATAACACAGGTAAGTATTTGGTGTCTACTTCTTTGTCTCAAGTTTTTTCAAAACTCAGACAAAGAGGGGCAAACTGTAGACACCAAATTTTTGGTGTAATTTCATTTTTAGTTTTTTTATTTGTCGAGTTCATTTTTAGTTTTTAGTTTCCAGTTTTATTTTTATTTTTAAGTTTTATCATAGAATTTGGAGAAAAGGAAAAAAAGCATTCAAGAAAAATATGATTTAGTCGTTTGTAGTTTAAATTCAATGCTTTCTTAAAAGAAAAAAAAAAGAAGAAAAAGAGGAAAAGAAAGAAAAATCATAAAAAAGAGAAAAAGGGAAATTCGTTCACAAAAATATGTTTATTTCTTTAAATTCAACCTTTTTGCACTTTAGTTATTCTTATTAAGTTATTTTGAAAAAGAAAAAAGGAAAAATGAAGAAAATTTGAAAAATGGACATTTTTGTGGTTTTTATTTATTTAGTTTGTTTTTTTATTTATTTGTTTTCATTCTTATTATTATTACATGGTTTTGTCGTTTTGTTATTCTTATTATTATTTATATTCTGTATTTATTAAGTTGTAAAAAAAAAAAAAAAAAAAAAAAAAAGCTACGTGCATGCAAGCTGCATTTTCGCAGCTTGCAAAGGAACTTTGAGGCAGCTCCTTAGCTGCAAATACAGAGGGAGTTTGTTAAGGGTTTAGGAGGGGGTTCTTGGTATAAATAGAAAAAGAAACAGCAGCCGCAAGAGGGGAGTAAAGGGCGATAGAAAAAACAGCGTAGGAAAGAAGGAGAGAGGGAGAGACAAACAAAAAACAGCTAAGAAAAGGCCGAGAGAAAGAGAACGGCTGTGAGAAAAATCTGAAGGCTTTTAACGGCTGGGGTTTGGTGAGTAGGCTGGAGGGTTTTTCAGAAAAAGAGAGGACACGGCGTAGAGAAAACCAGAAAGGCTAGGTAGCGGCTAGGTTTTGAGCGGGGAGAAAAGGGCCGAGACCGAGGGAGAGCAAGGAGAGTTCTTGGGAGAGCAAGCTGACGGCAGCAAACTAGGAAAGAAATCTGGGCAAGAAACCTACGGGCAAGAGAGTAGGAGAGCCGTGGGATGAAGGGTTGGTGAAGGTGTTGGGCATTTGGGGCCGTAGCCGCAAGGGGGAGGTTTTGGGGGTTTTGTTTAGAAGTTGACGGCTAAGGAAAGACGGGGAAAGCAAGAGAGAGCTAGGACGGCGAAGGTAGAAATAGACCAGCGAGAAGATGTTGACGGGGGGGATTCTAAAAAAGCTAGAAAACAAGAGAGGAGAGCAGCGTGAGGAAGATAGAGAGGAACGGCAAAAGAAGAAACAACCCAGAGTGAGCAAGAGCGAGAAAGAAGCAGCGAAAATCTGGAATCCAAAAGGGGCGATTGCGGCAATTCGTTCACGGAGTTTTCTGCCCAGATTTGGGCCCAAAAAGCTTGGTCAGGTAGAGTTGCAGGAAGCTACGGCAGTGAGAAGAAAAGGAGGCTGAATCGAGGGAGATTGGTGGCTGGAAAAGAAAGGAGTGAATTTTACAGAAAATCTGGTCACCAAGCTGACTTTTCAGTCATGTTGTGACCCAGATTTCTCTCCCAATATACCTACTTTCGAGGAGATTTGTGTTGATTCCTCATCTACAATACTCAGGGAGGAAGTTTTGTGTTGATCTGTACCGGGAAAAACTGCTGCGGCATCACCAAATTCGAGGCCAAGCATACTGTCCTCGGCTTTTTGAGAGCCGCAACCTGGGTTTCATATTGGGTGGAACTTTCGCATCTTCCTACAGATTTCAGTTGCAGTTTCAACTTCATAAGGAGGTGCAGGTAACCATAGCTCCCTTCCTAGCTTGATTTGACATGTTTTGCACGAAGAACAAAACCTGTCTGATGTCAACTTTGAATTTTTCTTTCCTTTCCTTGCTGCGGTGTTTCCATTGCTGTTTGGATCTCTTTTGTTGGACATTTGGGATTATGTTGATGTTTCGTGTTTGCTGAAACAATAGTTTTTCTTTTGGGGTTTGCGATGCTTTGGTGTTGAATAAGTGTTTGTAAGTGTTCAAAGCAGCAAAAACAGGAATTCGGTTGCATCTTAGAACTCGGTTGCTGAAGCTTTGTTGTGGCTGAGTTTGGGGTTTTGGATACTTAATTAAGCTTTTTGATTTTCAATGTTTGTTGTTTATCACTTGGGTTGAGGCAGTCACAACAGCTAGTTGCCAAAGGGTGTGTGTTTCTTTCTTTTGTTTGAACTATGGTATGGTAGAAAGCTTCATCAGCCGCCCAGAATTCTTTTAGCAGGAAATTCATCTGTGTTCTTGTTTTTTGCATGAAATATCCGACGCTTCTGATTTTTCATCTCCTTGTATGCATGATAAACTTGATAAGAACTTGAGTTTGGATTTGTGATTTGAAATGATTGTGTGAATCTGCCATGTGAAGTGCTGAATCTCTAAAGCATTAATTGCTGAAGTTCGAAACTCTTTTCGCGCAAAAATTTTCCAGAACTTGCATATTCACTTGCTAAGTTTCTAATTTTTTTGGATGTTAAAGTTATGCATTCGGTTGATCGTTTTAAAGTTGCTGCGCTTGATGAAAATTTGGATTGGATTTGGGCATGTGAATTGGCAGTATACGTCTAAAAATCAGAATTGCAGAAAGCTTTAGCTGCAGAAATTTCCTTCTACGTAATTTGCATGCATGTTAACAAAAGAAAATTGCACTTTGACCCCTTGGCTTCTAACTAATGCCACTAGGACCCAATCAATTGAATAATTTCATCAATTTGGTCCTTGACAATTTTAATTCTACAACTTCATTGCTTGTTTGTTTTAATTAATTACTATGCTCTGCTTCAATTGCATTTAATTCATGACTTTAGGGGCTTTATGACCAAGTGAGCCTGTATTTGCCTATTTTTTTTTTTAATTTTTCCAAATAAATTGGTACCTTGACCATTTCTTTTATTTTGGAGGATAAATAAGTGATTTCACTCCACTTAAGGCATCAACGCAAGGGAGGTAACTTCTACATTCTTGAGTTTATTTTTCCTACGTGCTCCTACGTGCTATGTGAATATGCCTGTCTACTTCGCTTTCCTTACCTCCCTGCGTGCATTTACTTGCTTTTTACTTTTATTTAAGTTTTTATGGGGTATGTGTACACCTCTTGGCTTGTAATAGATAGTGCTCGGAGAGCATCTGGTCCATTCACCCTTTCCCTTTTATGCTTTTATGGGGTATGTGTACACCTCTTGGCTTGTAATAGATAGTGCTCGGAGAGCATCTGGTCCATTTCCCCTTCCCCTTGGTTGCTTGTTTTTGTTGCTACATGTTTAATCGCTTTATTAGGCTCTTGCATCTAGTCGAGCATGCTAAGTGCTACGTGCTACGTGTTTACGAGCGTTTTGGCATGTCTACTTGCTTCCATAGCCTGAATGAATGGAATGGATGAATGTACGTTTCCGCTAGTCCAACGCTAGTCGGAATTCATAGAATGGGCTAGTCCAACGCTAGACCCTTAGGGATTTCCCCTCATTAGCATATCATTTGCTTGTTCACCACATATCACGCATTTTCCTTAGTTTTATCATTTGGCATGATCCTCGAACCCGTTTTCCCTCCATTTTAGGATTTTTGCATTTCATGCTAGTTATAGGGTCCATTTGCTTGAGTGTCCCCTTCTGATAAGGGAAACGAGCGAGTGTGGCTACTCGATAGCCTTAGCACGCTAGTTTTGCCTTCTAATTAAAGGGAAAATCGAAGTCGAAAAGTTAGGAGTCATTCCCATACCCGACCTGATGCATTCCCTTAGGTTCATTCATTCTCATTTATCACTTACTCATTCTTTTCAATTCACATTTTCCTTTCCTTATTGTTCATTTTGATTTCTACTTCACAAAATTGCACTTAATTACACCTATATGCACTTATCACTATATTTCATACACTTGCACACAAACACTTGGAATTTTCATACGATTGCACACGTGCACCTTTTCATACACTTGCACACAAACACTTGGATTTTTAATTTCTTTCATACACTTTCACACTTGCACACGTGAGTCTCATTTGCATTAACCGACCTCTATGGGGTTTTCCTTTGTTGGCCGCCACAATTCATGTGGTTTGGGACCAAAAGCCTCACGAGAGACATCGTAGAATTTAGGATTGCATTTTTCTTTCCGTTTTGCATTCATATAGTCATATCCAACGTGCGAACATATATTGGGTAGAAAATTAGGAAAGGTAAGGTTAAGTCGCGCAACTAGCCTTGGCTAGGTCAGAGGGGTGCCTTGGATTCTATCCTTGCCTTCCCCTTTGTCAAACGTGACCCCCGAACCTTTTTCTTTGGCTTACGTGGACTAGGAGTCGTTTTAAAAAGGGTTTTACTACTTTGTCTTTAAAAAACACTTTTTGGGTGACTTGGTACACCCCAAATCTATACCAAGTGGCGACTCCGTTTTCATATTTAAAAAACCCTTTTTAAGATTTCATTTGGCCAAATCGTCGCTTTCCAAAGTCCCATGGCCTTTTTACTTTTCATTTTGCACACGTTCACACCACACTTCACGCACACATCACTCACACATTCACATCACATTCAAAAAGTGGGGCGCGACAACTACTCCATCCTTGGTGACGATGTGTCCCAAGTACTCAACCTGTGGCTGACCAAAAGTGCATTTGGAGAGTTTAGCATAAAGTTTATGATATCTGAGAGTATCCAGAACTTGTTTAAGGTGAATAAGATGGGTAGTTAAATCTGGGCTATATACTAAAATATCATCAAAGAAGACTAATACGAATTTTCTGAGGAAAGGGCTAAAAATTGAACTCATGAGTGCTTGAAAGGTTGCCGGGGCATTAGTAAGCCCAAATGGCATAACAAGGAATTCATACAATCCAATGTGAGTTCGAAAGGCTGTTTTGGGTATATCATGGGGATGCATTCTGATATGGTGATAACCAGATCTGAGATCAATTTTAGAAAATACTTTGGAACCATGGAGCTCGTCCAAGAGATCATTAATGATAGGGATGGGAAATTTGTCCTTAATGGTGATTTCATTTAACTGTCTATAATCAATACAAAACCTCCATGTTTCATCTTTTTTTCTAACTAGCAAGACAGGTGAAGCGAAAGGGCTATGACTAGGTTGAATAATGCCATTAACTAGCATTTCCTGAACTTGTTTTTCAATTTCATTCTTCTGAGTATGGGGATATCTATAAGGAATCAACTTGAAAGGTTTAGAATCTGGCTTAAGGGGTATCTTGTGATCTAACTGTCTAATAGGGGGTAAGGTGGAAGGTTCTCCAAACACATCAGTATAATCAGCCAAGAGTGCACTTATGGAGTCATCAGTGTGAGATGTTACCTCAGGATTATCAACTGCTAGAACACATGGCCTGCAGAGAGTTTCTTTCTTCTTCCGTCTCAGAAACTTTTGGACAGTTTTTCCCTTCCTCAGTTTGATGTCTGTCTCTCTCAAATCTCCTTGTAGCTTCACTTCCTGCCCTTCCTGATTAAAGGAGAATTGCAGATGCTTGAAATCAAAAGTTACAGGACTGTGCTCTCTCATCCAATCGACCCCCAATACCATATCATACGGCTCAAGTGCAAGCACATATACATCATGAGTGAATGTATGCCCTTGCATTTCCCAAGTCATCCGTGGAACCCAGCTATTACACTGTAGCAACTGCCCATTAGGCACATTGACTGCGAACGATTTCCTTGGTACTACTAATTGAGGATTTTCCTCGAACACTGAAGCTTTAACAAAACTGTGAGAACTTCCTCCATCTAAAAATATTGAGAGTGGTTTCCCATTAAATTTCCCCTTCAGTTTGATAGTGCCCTGCAGCAGTTCACCAGTCATAGAGTGGATGGAAAATTCTACATCTTTATGACTACTGGCCCCACTATATTTTATCACTGCCCTTTCGGTCAAGATTGATTCCTCCAATTTCCTTTTGTCTTCATCATCAACGAGTAACATGTGAATCCCCTTCCTACTACATACATGCCCGGGCCCATATCTATCCCCACATTTGAAGCACAGATTATTGGCCTTTCTGTATTGCAATTCTGATGGAGATATTTTCTGGAACATAGGAGATCCCCCTCTTTTACTACTCTCGGCTCCTTCAAGAGCATGATTAACTCTAGGTGAAGGCAGAGCAAAGCTCTTGGGAGCCATCTTCTGTTTCTTGGTGAATGCTTCAAAGGCCTTTTCCTGCATTCTCGCTGTCTTAAAGGTATCTAACAGAGTTCGAGGCTTGTGCATTTTGACCGATATCTTGAGCTTTTCAGATAACCCACTCAAGAAGCAAGAGATAAAGAAAGGTTCTGTAAGTCCTGGGGTCTTGATCAAAACTCTGGCCTTGAGTTCTTCGAATTTCTCCTGATACGGGTGAATGTTTGCTGCAATTTACTGAACTCTTCTACTGCATCATCTTGTCCCACTTCTCCAAATCTCTTTATGAGTCCTTCTTCAAACTCAAGCCAAGAAAGCTTACTTAGGCCCATCTTGAACCCTTGAAACCATATATCTGCCTTATCCTCTAAATGCATTTCTATCACATCGAACCATTGTTCCTCTGCCACATGATATATCTGAAAATATTTGATACATTTCCTCAGCCATTCTCGGGGATTTCCCCTCTGAACAGAGGAAATTCCACCTTAGGGACAGGGGCATGAAGATTCTTCCTTACTCCACATTCTTGATTAGGCTCGTCCAACCAAATTACGTTCTGATTACCCGATCGATTTGGAGACTTCTCTGCGTTACTGCCGGGACCCAAAATTCCCTTATCTCTATTGATGGATCGTATGAGATTGCCATATTGAGTAGACACAGTTGCTACTAGGGTCTTCAATTCTGCAGTGATAGTCTCCAGTCGTTCATCAGTCTACTTCCTATTCAGAAGAGAATCTTCAATGAATTCCTGTAGTTTGTTTTCTTGACATTTGATCAGTTCCTCTAGAGCTTTGAATCTTGTACCTTCGGCCATGATGGGCAATCAAAAGCTACTGAATCCGAGGATCAGTACCTCTGATACCAAATGTTATGACCCGATTCCAGAATGAAGAAAAGAATTGAGGTGGGGTTTAGGGAAGACGGAAAAGTCAGAAATTAGGGAGAATGAGAAAGGCTTATTGATTTCATCTTCTAGAATGAATCCGTAGTACACGGGAGTAGCTTATTTATCCAGCTTCTAGTCACTTCCTCTAATAGAATAACTACTTGCTACTCTAGTCGGTTGAGCTGTAACTTCTCCAACTATCTCTAGCACGTGGCTATGATATGAGAATACCGCCAAAACATAGCACTAATGGATTTATTATACAAGGCGTAACATGTTACAAGTGATTGCTTCTTGCACTTTGACTTATGATTTATAAACTTTGATTGTAACACAGAGAACTTTTCTTTATCAATGACATTGCTAATCTTGATTTGATATTTGAACAATTTGTATTTTATTTGTGAAAAATCATTGGAAACTGCTAAAATAAGGTTGCAACAATGAACCGCTCGTAAGCAATTCGAGTTCGAGCTTGACTCAAACTCGAGTCGAGTTCAAGCTAACCAAGTTGAACTTGAGCTCAAAAATACTCAATTCGTTAGCTCACGAGTCGGTTCAATTATATATATTCTTTATTTTTTTTATTTTAATAGTAAAATTACATGTATCCCTAATATTTTATTATTTGTTAAGAAAATTTATTATTTTATTCATTAATTTAAGCTCGAGTTCGACTCGAATTTGAGTCGGGTTCAAGTTTGAACTTTACATTGAGAGCTTGTTGAGTTCAAATTCAAATTCGAACTTGATAAAACTAAATTAAAACTCAACTCGATTAGCCTAAATTCCTACTCGATTCGACTCATTTGTACCCCTACGACAATTGAATTGTTGTTTTGCCCCTTCTACATTAAGATTTATAGGTCTTTGAGACATAATTTTAATTTACACAAGACCTTGAACTAAATGGTGTAACTTTTGGAAAGAACGATCAATCTGGCTTCTTGCAGTGGTTGTAGATATTAAGAAGAAAGAGTTTGAGGAAATATTTTCTCTATATTTCACACTGTAGCGCCCCTTTTTTAATAAGAAAAATAAATGGTTTAAAAAATGAATTTTAATTCAAATTTTTTATTGAAAAAATGATTTTTGAATTAAAAAAAAAATGGGCCTAAATGGGGTTTGAAAGTGCGACGATTTGGGCTCAAATTATAGTTTAAAAAGGGTTTTTGAATAAAAAATCGGAGTCGCCACTTGGTATGGAGTTAAGGTGTACTAAGTCACCTAAAAATGAATTTTCAAAGAAAAAAGTAGAAAACTCTTTTTAAACGACTCCAGATCTACGTAAATCAAAGAAAAAGGTTCGGGAGTCACATTTGAAGAAAGAGAAGGCAAGGATAAAATTTCAAGGCACCCTTTCGACCTAACCAAAGCTAGTTGCGTGAATTAGTCAAAGATTTTCTTATTTTTAATCTAAAGATTTATCACATTTGGATGTACTATATGAATACAAACCCTAGACCTAAGAGGGTATCGGGGGGTCGGAATTTCTCTTCAAAACTTAATTGGTACCAACCACATTAATTGTGAAGCCTAATAAAGACTCTTTGAAGAGGACACGAATAATGTAAAAATATGAGACTCTAAGAAAAGAAAAGAAAAATAATAAAGATAATTATAATTATACAAATATACATGACCTAAAAGAATGCATCATAACGGGTGCGGGGATAAAATGTTCGTGACTTCAATTTTTCCTTTTATAGAGGAAATACGAGCGTGCTAAGGCTAAAAAGCCAAATTCGTCCATATCCCATATTCAAGGGGTTTTCTCTAATCTAATCAAGCAAATGATCTAACCTAACTCTAATTTTTTCTATATGAAATGCAAATCTAATGTCATGTCTCATGCATAGGAGTAAGGAATATACATATATGGAGAAAATATAGGATAAGAGATATACATATAAGGGGGATGTCATACAAAAATGATAAAAGACCCTAGAAAGTGAAAAATATGCATGAAAATGTAGTGTAGTCACACAAACATGATTTAGCGTGTGGACGGTCTCTAAGGGTCTAGCATTGGATTAGCCCATATTTCTATTTTCTCACTAGCGTTGGACTAGTGAGAAATCGGACAAAGGAACCACAACTAGCATTGGACTAGTGTGGTATCGGGAAATGGATCATAACTAGCGTTGGACTAGTGTGATAACACGTCATACATTAATTATAACTAAATTAATCATGTAAAACTCAATAAAAGCATGTAAACACATAATATCACATAAACACATAACACATAATCATGATATCTAGATACAAGGCTCTAAGAAAGCGGTAACACATAGCACATAAACATGCAAAAACACACAAGACAAATATAAAGCAAATAAAAACCCTAACTATTACATTTGAGGGGGGCCTACTACAATCTAAAAGGGGAATGTGAAATAAAATGAAGTAAAGTAAACCTAACTATTACAACTTGGCATTTAAATGCCCTTTAAATAATCAAAATGAAACTAAAATAAATATTCAAAATTTAAACAAATAAAGCAAATAAATAAATGAAATAAAACATTCAAAAAACATACAATTAAGCACATAAAGTCACATAGACATATAGAGTCAAATAAAGTGAAAATAAGGGATAGAGTGTATCTCTCTTGAATTGGGGCCATAATGACATGAATTTACTTGTTTATACTCCAAAATAATAAAAAGGGTCAAGGCATCATTTTAATTAACAATTAATTACATGAAACGAAAATTAAACACAAAAATGAAAATTAAACACGAAATGAAAATTAAACACAAAATGGAATCACTTAAAGTATTTCATAAAAGAAATCATCTATATGCAAGAAATTAGAGCGGAAAAGAACCTAATTGAAATAATTAAGAAGTACTAAGATGAGGTACTAAAATTAATGACTCAAAATGGAATCTACCAAAATCAAATGCTAAACCTTTAAAACATGACACAAATTCACTAAAATCAACCCAAAGTCTACATTAAGTCATGTTAAAGAAAGAAGTAACATGTTAGAGGGACCAAATCGATTAGTTTTTTCCAATTTTATAGGCCATAGTAGCGTTAGACATCAATTAAGGGGTTAAAGTATAATTTCTTGAACATTTTCCATGCAAAAATGCATGCAAAACTACGAATGAACAAGCTTCTGCAACAACAAAAAAAAAACTTTCAGCATGCTAAAGTGATTCCTCTGTGATTTCATCCGCAAATTTTCCGCAGCTCTCGGACAAGATCATATTTAGTTTGAACTAAAGCAAGAAGACCGCCACTTAATCCTCTCACTTTGCAATAGAAACATTAGATTCAATCACAAGGAGTCGGACAAAAGAGCATGCAAATGCTGAAGAAAAAAGTTTCTGCAACTTATCTTCATTTAGCCGAAACAAAAATTCAAACACAATGACTCAAACAAGTCCCAACTCATTCAAGCAAAGATCCAACACGCTTTCGGACACCCAAACGTGACCAAATAATCTGAACACTTGCTCAACTTCAACTGCTCAGATTTTCCAGAAAAATAAACAAGACAATGAAAACTGATGGCCTTTATTCCTATGTTCCCAAACACGCGCATGGCACCCCATTCGAACGGCAAACAAACCAAACACTTGAAGCAAGCCAGAATTTCAACAATCAAATAGAAAAAGAAATCCATTCGCACTGCTGCAACAAGGCGGAGGGTTTCCATCCTATTGCAGCAGAAAAAAAAAATGTTTTCCCGCGAGAGAAAAAAAAACTCTGCAGTTCTAAGAATTTTGGTCTTCAGCAACCCAGAAAATTCGCAAAAGGTTCTAAACAAAACCCAAGCATTCTATACAACCATCATTCAATCATCAATGATTCACCAACACAACAAGATTCATGAGCAAGGAAATCATCTGAAACCCAATCATAGCAAAGGGAAAGGAATGACTCATGAAACCAGTAACCAAACATCAGCATTTCACACATGATCCGAATTTATCAAGCCCAACAAATAGCTTCTAAATACTTATTGATAGTCCTACTCGACCACAACACAAGGATTCAAGTCATGAAGTGTCAAACCGCAGGAAAACATATAAAGCTGGGAACTTTCTTCTTCCCTCAACTAAAAAACTTTGGCAGCTTCTGAAAACTTTGAGTTTTCATTGAGCTTTCACAACCAGCACATACCAAGCTACACTTCATCATAGAAAACAGTACAAATGAAAGAAATCAGCCCCCCCCCCCAAAATCCTAGGTTTTGACACGAAAAGATCCGATGATTCCCAACCCAAAATTAGAAATAACAATGGCTTCAACTCTTCAATTCAACCAGCCCATGAAGCACGTATACTCAAATGTCAAAGATAACTAACGGGGAAATGGCCATAAGTAAAGTCATAGACCCTATGCTTGAAAGTTTCAAGATCTGAACCAAGGCTTAAAGGGAAAGACAACTTATAGTGCTTTCTTTTCTTTTTCGTAGGCGATAACAGTGGAATGAAATGAAGATGATTTCTACTCCTCGCAATAGGTAGCAGCTCCAATGGCTCCTTCGTCCCTTTAAGAATAGCATTCGACCAGAATTTTCTCTTCTTCTACCTTGCTCTCTTGCTCACTCTCACGGTCTCCTCCTCTCACTTTTCTCAGTGTGAGGCCCCAATCAGTTCGTAAGTTGATATTAGGGTTATTCATTATTTCGGTGTGGTGAAGTTAGGGTTAAGGCTAAGGAGGAAAGCCTAATCTCGGTTAAGATTGAAAACCCTAGTTTATGTATTACTTTGAAATGGTTAGCAAACTCTAGATTAGCAAACCTCTAGTGTTAGAATTTATTAGAAAGCTTAAGTGGAGTTTTTTTTATCGCCAGCCTTTTTCTACATTTTCTTTATTAGAAAATTTCCCAGATAATTTTTATTAAGTAAATATAGGTTTTAGATGATTTTTCTAGTATCGGTTAGTTTTTGAGAAATTAAGAACATATATCGGACGTGGGACCCGCTAGCGCGGAAAGTTCAGAAAAATTCGCCCAACTAGGTTAAGTTTTGGATACTGGAATTAATTTACCGGGTGTTAAGAGATAAGTAGAGGTTGCAATTTGGATTGATATGAGAGAGACAAGTTAGGTAGGTATTTAATAAAAGGTGACAAGTGTCACCATTTGAGTGGTCTACCCTTAAGACCACTATTCATGGTCTTACCAATTGACTAATTAAATCAAAAAAACAACCAAAAATTCTCCATTTCGTCTCCCTTGTTGGCCGGCCCTCTCTCTCAAAAAGAAAGGAAGAAACTCTTCAAGTTTTGCTTCCATTTTGCTCCAAATCATCAAAACCAACCATTGAAACTTGAACTTACTCCATAAAACCTCTTCAATTAGTGTTAGTAAGTTGTTTGGTGGAGTGATTTGGAAAGCTAGGAGGACCTCTTGCTCTCTCTCTCTTGTTTCTAAGGTGAGTTGTGAAGAACCACCCTTCTCCTTTAATTGATGCTTAAATCATGCTTAGTGGTAGTATGAGATGCAAGTTTATGGATTATTTCTTGATTTGTGGTTGAAGTGATGAAGTTTTATTATTTTTGGAGATTTTTCTGTTTTAATATAAGCATGATTGTGTGGCTATCTATGATGATTGGCAATGGTATATAATGACTCTAGGAGGTGGAAAAATGATTAATTGCAACCAATTTCTGGTTTGGAAGAAATTTCAGAAAATTAGGGTTCTTGTGGGAGCATTCTGCCCGAATTTTTAGCTCCTAGTTAGAGGCCGAATTGGGCTTGGATTAAAACATCAAAGTTGTAGGGAATGACATTTTAGAGGTGCCTACAAAATTTCAGGTCAATCGGAGTAGTGTAGAATGAGAAAAGTAGAAATTACTATTACTGTTCTGGTTTTACCCGAATGTAAGAACTGCGCCTGTAATTGGTTGTTTTGGCTGGAATTGCTTCCGAATTGGTTGTTGAGGTCTTCTGATGAAATGTAGCCCTGTTTCTTAGCTTTCAGCTGGTTTTGGACTTTCTGGATTCGGACTTGGATAGCCTGATTTATGATGTTTCCGCTAGAATGCATTCTGTGAATCTGTTTTTGTGATTCTGGTGTAGTATTTTGCATTTTTGACCTAGTTACCCTCGAAAATGGACTGAGTAGCCTTCTTCAACATTGTAGCTTCTTAAGTCCTGAATATATCTACAAAATTTCCGGTCAAACGGATCTGTGTAGCTCGAGTTATAACCAAAACACTCGCACCTATTTTGTACCCTAAAATTGTGTACGTTTTGAATTTCAGCTTCTGACCGTGCATTTTTCCGTTTTGATCCCGTAAGATCTGGGTGTCAACTCCTTCATAAGAAATTTAGATCTTGGTTTTAGCTTCGAAACGGTATAAAGTGCGTTGAAATCCGAGTTCCGTAGCTTCCGTTATGATCAAAACAAGATTGATCGTCAGAACTGCCTTTGATCTGGACAGTTCTGATGGGTACTTTGGCACTCAATTTTCGTTCTGTTCTGAATGGATTCAGGTCTTGGCCAAAACATCAAAGTTTTAGCCTTATGACTCAGCTTTCTAATGCCTTTGGAATTCCCTGATTTAGATTTGTCATTTGGGAGTTATGGTCCAGCAAACATACCCTGTTCGTTACTATAGAGTGCGAATTTCTGGAACGATTTTCCATACTTTCGACCTATTTCTGTTCAGATCCGGATTTAGGTGTCTTCATGAAAATTGTAGCCCTTCCTCTTAGCTTCACAACGATAGCTCATGTACCTTGATCCGACATTCCTAGCATAACTTTTGATCAAAACGATTTGAGAAGGCAGATTTGGCCATTTCCGTTTTCCGTTCCGCGCGGGCGCTTGTGCCCGTTTTGCCGTTTCCGCACTTGCATGTGCCGATTTTGCCGTTTTGCTTGTTTTAAATATGTTAGTAGCCGTTTGTGATATATTGTGACACAATCTTCAATTTCAGACGTTGGTGAGTTAGGTGGAGCCGGTGGGGCCTACTAACTACTCCTCGCGACACGAATTTCGTACTTTTGCTCTTTTGTTCGTTGTGTAAGTATTCAGGCCGCTCTTATGTGTTAGTTGCTTATGTGTTTCGATATGTATGAAAAGGGTACCTAGGCGAGGGTGTACTTTATCGCACTCGACCTAAACCCTAATTTTCGCACACATTTGTATATGGCATATGTATATGAATCATTTTGGAACTAAACCCCTTGAGCTTGTGGCTCGGGGTGACTTTTGAGTAAATTTTGTGAAGTTTGTGAGTTTGGGGCCAGATCTCATGACCTAGATGGACTATTCGAGCCGGTTAGGGTTTGGTCGAAGTTAGTCCAACCTGGTTTGAGGTCACCAAGTTTGTGAGTCCGGTTCACCGATTATGTGGACCAAGTTTGTGTCCCGAGCTTGTGAACCAAGCTCAATTTCGTTCGCTCGAGCAAGTTTGTGAGGTGTCTGGCCAGAGAGGGTGATAAGGTGTACGGTGGGAGTATAAGTGAAGTTCTACGGACCATTACTTGTGGTCGACGGAGGGTCGGCAGGAGGTCACACATGGCAAACGATCTGACTTTGGAGCCACCTGTATCCTTATTATGTGATGTTACTTTTCTGCTTTTGCTTTACTCTTACTGTGCAATTGTTAATATGTGAGATTTACGCTTTTGCCCCTGTTTACTTGCTAAACATATAGCTTACCCCTTTTCTTTTGTTTTCCTTAGCAGGGGCCGACGTGGGGACTTTTGACACATACACTAGTATAGTTAGGTTTGTTTGTAATAGTCGGACAGCTAGGATGTTTGTTTTTGTTTTGGTGATTTGTATAGGAACCCTCCTTAGGGTCTACCTTCTGATGGTTGTTATTATAATGTATTAAAGTGGTTTGACTCGATACTTTTGAAGATGTAAATAGAATTTTTGGCGGTTGTATATATTATAAATAGTTCTCTTTTGGTTTAATATAATTTTGTTAGCTTTGTGTTTTGAGTCCTGGCGCGAGCTAGGCAGGCATCCCGCCGATACCCTTGGGTTCGCCCTTGGGAGAAGCGGGGGCGTCACAGGTGGTATCAGAGCGCCTAGGTTAGAGGACTTGGGCAAGTGGGACATACGCGATAGGCACTAGGCATATTTGATTCTTTTAAGCTGAAATGCCGGTGAACTGACGAATTAATGTTTTGTAGGTATGTATCCGGGCAGTTCGAGTAGTGCGAGACCTATTGGAATGGGACCGAGACCTCCGAGTGCGAGGGGCCCAGAGGATCGAGCGCTGCGTAAGCGGGCGATCCGTTATCGGCAGAGACTTGGAGAGCCTTACACTTTGTACTCCCCTTTTGGTCAGGTGTCACACCGACCTTGTAGGTGTTGGTATACGTACAGTTATCCTGACGAGGTCGTCCTGGCAGTGGACGATTAGCGACGTAGCCTGAGTAGTCAGCTAGAGGAGGCCAGAGAGGTTGGCCATGGGCAGGCGATGCGTATTAGGGACTTGGAGCGGGGTCTCCGAGATGAGATGCAGAGGGTGGACGCTTTACGCCGTCAGCTTCAGGACACCCATCAGCACCTCTTCGCTTTGAAGAGGCAGCTGAAGGAGAGGGTGCGGAGTATTTCGATGGACTGCGAGGTCATTCTAGATATGGCCGCGGAGGCACCGCCTCGAGCCACCGGTCCAGAGGGGATGGACGAGGTGGACATGTTAGGTTCCGTAGGGAACCTGGGCCCTAGGGGAGGCGTTTAGGGTCGCTTTTATACTTTTATTTAGCTAGTGGATTACCACTTTCTTTCGTTATTTGGTTGACTGACTAGATTTTTTGGAGCCGGTGCTCATGTGTACATTGGGTTTTGTACCGATTGGAGGTCGGTAATCTGTAAATCTTTTGGTGTGACTTTGTAAATATATGTATATATTTGAGTGGCATTTTGAACTTATCTCTTGTATGTCTTTTGTGCATACGCTTTACGTCCGTACTTTTGCTCATAGTTTGAATAATAAGTATATGTAACGTTCCGATCTATAGACTTGTGGCCCGAAATGGACTCCGGTGGTCAAAGTAGAGCTGGAGAGCAAGAGTGTATGCAATGGGTCAATATGAGGTGACTGACCCTTCGGCGGGTTTCGAAGGTATGCTTTGACCAAAGAATTAATTTCGAGGACGAAATTTTCCTATGTGGGGGAGATTGTGAGGCCCCAATCAGTTCGGAAGTTGATATTAGGGTTATTCATTATTTCGGTGTGGTGAAATTAGGGTTAAGGCTAAGGAGGAAACCCTAATCTCGGTTAAGATTGAAAACCCTAGTTTATTTATTAGTTTGAAATGGTTAGCAAACTCTAGATTAGCAAACCTCTAGTGTTACAATTTATTAGAAAGCTGAAGTGGAGTTTTATTTATCGCCCGCCTTTTTCTACATTTTCTTTATTAGAAAATTCCCCAGATAATTTTTATTGAGTAAATATAGGTTTTAGATGATTTTTCTAGTATCGGTTAGTTTTTGAGAAATTAAGAACATATATCGGACGTGGGACCCACTAGCGCGGAAAGTTCGGAAAAATTCGGCCAACTAGGTTAAGTTTTGGATACTGGAATTAATTTATCGGGTGTTAAGAGATAAGTAGAGGTTGCAATTTGGATTGATATGAGAGAGACAAGTTAGGTAGGTATTTAATAAAAGGTGACAAGTGTCACCATTTGAGTGGTCTACCCTTAAGACCACTATTCATGGTCTTACCAATTGACTAATTAAATCAAAAAAACAACCAAAAATTCTCCATTTCTTCTCCCTTGTTGGCCGGCCCTCTCTCTCAAAAAGAAAGGAAGAAACTCTTCAAGTTTTGCTTCTATTTTGCTCCAAATCATCAAAACCAACCATTGAAACTTGAACTTACTCCATAAAACCTCTTCAATTAGTGTTAGTAAGTTGTTTGGTGGAGTGATTTGGAAAGCTAGGAGGACCTCTTGCTCTCTCTCTCTTGTTTCTAAGGTGAGTTGTGAAGAACCACCCTTCTCCTTTAATTGATGCTTAAATAATGCTTAGTGGTAGTATGAGATGCAAGTTTATGGATTATTTCTTGATTTGTGGTTGAAGTGATGAAATTTTATTATTTTTGGGGATTTTTCTGTTTTAATATAAGCATGATTGTGTGGCTATCTATGATGATTGGCAATGGTATATAATGACTCTAGGAGGTGGAAAAAGTGATTAATTGCAACCAATTTCTGGTTTGGAAGAAATTTCAGAAAATTAGGGTTCTTGTGGGAGCATTCTGCCCGAATTTTTAGCTCCTATTTAGAGGCCGAATTGGCCTTGGATTAAAACATAAAAGTTGTAGGGAATGATATTTTAGAGGCTCCTACAAAATTTCAGGTCAATTGGAGTAGTGTAGAATGAGAAAAGTCAAAATTACTATTGCTGTTCTGGTTTTACCCGAATGTAAGAACTGCGCCTGTAATTGGTTGTTTTGGCTGGAATTGCTTCCGAATTGGTTGTCGAGGTCTTCTGATGAAATGTATCCCTGTTTCTTAGCTTTCAGCTGGTTTTGGACTTTCTGGATTCGGACTTGGATAGCCTGATTTATGATGTTTCCGCTAGAATGCGTTCTGTGAATCTGTTTTTGTGATTCTGGTGTAGTATTTTGCATTTTTGACCTAGTTACCCTCGAAACTGGACTGAGTAGCCTTCTTCAACATTGTATCCTCTTAAATCCTGAATATATCTGCAAATTTTCCGGTCAAACGGATCTGTGTAGCTCGAGTTATAACCAAAACACTCGCACCTGTTTTGTACCCTGAAATTGTGTACGTTTTGAATTTCAGCTTCTGACCGTGCATTTTTCCGTTTTGATCCCGTATGATCTGGGTGTCAACTCCTTCATAAGAAATGTAGATCTTGGTTTTAGCTTCGAAACGGTATAAAGTACGTCGAAATCCGAGTTCCGTAGCTTCCGTTATAATCAAAACAAGATTGATCCTCAGAACTGCCTTTGATCTGGACAGTTCTGACGGGTACATTGGCACTCAATTTTTGTTCTATTCTGAATGGATTCAGGTCTTGGCTAAAACATCAAAGTTTTAGCCTTATGTCTCAGCTTTCTAGTGCTTTTGGAATTTCCTGATTTAGATTTGTGAGCTGGGAGTTATGTTCCAGAAAACATACCCTGTTCGTTACTATAGAGTGCGAATTTCTGAAACGATTTTCCATACTTTCAACCTATTTCTGTTCAGATCCGGATTTAGGTGTCTTCATGAAAATTGTATCCCTTCCTCTTAGCTTCGCAACGGTACCTCATGTACCTTGATCCGATATTCCTAGCCTAACTTTTGATCAAAACGGTTTGAGAAGGAAGATTTGGCCATTTCCGTTTGCCGTTCCGCGCGGGCGCGTTCGCCCTTTTTGCCGTTTCCGCACTTGCATGTGCCGATTTTACCGTTTTGCTTGTTTTAAATATGTTAGTAGCTGTTTGTGATATATTGTGACACAATCTTCAATTTCAGACGTTTGTGAGTTAGGTGGAGCCGGTGGGGCCTACTAACTACTCCTCGCGGCACGAATTTCGTACTTTTGCTCTTTTGTTCGTTGTGTAAGTATTCAGGCCGCTCTTATGTGTTAGTTGCTTATGTGTTTCGATATGTATGAATAGGGTACCTAGGCGAGGGTGTACTTTATCGCACTCGACCTAAACCCTAATTTACGCACACATTTGTATATGACATATGTATATGAATCATTTTGGAACTAAACCCCTTGAGCTTGTGGCTCGGGGTGACTTTTGAGTAAATTTTGTGAAGTTTGTGAGTTTGGGGCCAGATCTCATGACCTAGATGGACTATTCGAGCCGGTTAGGGCTTGGTCGAAGTTAGTCCAACCTGGTTTGAGGTCACCAAGTTTGTGAATCCGGTTCACCGATTATGTGGACCAAGTTTGTGACCCGAGCTTGTGAACCAAACTCAATTTCGTTCGCTCGAGCAAGTTTGTGAGGTGTCTGGCCAGAGAGGGTGATAAGGAGTACGGTGGGAGTACAAGTGAAGTTCTACGGACCATTACTTGTGATCGACGGAGTGTCGGCAGGAGGTCACACATGGCAAACGATCTGGCTTTGGAGCAACCTGTATCCTTATTATGTGATGTTACTTTTCTGCTTTTGCTTTACTCTTACTGTGCAATTGTTAATATGTGAGATTTACGCTTTTGCCCCTGTTTACTTGCTAAGCATATAGCTTACCCCATTTCTTTTGTTTTCCTTAGCAGGGGCCGACGCGGGGACTTTTGACACATACACTAGTATAGTTAGGTTTGTTTGTAATAGTCGGACAGCTAGGATGTTTGTTTTTGTTTTGGTGATTTGTATAAGAACCCTCCTTAGGGTCTACCTTCTGATGATTGTTATTATAATGTATTAAAGTGGTTTGACTCGATACTTTTGAAGATGTAAATAAAATTTTTGGCAGTTGTATATATTATAAATAGTTCTCTTTTGGTTTAATATAATTTTGTTAGCTTTGTGTTTTGAGTCCTGGCGCGAGTTAGGCAGGCGTCCCGCCGATACCCTAGGGTTCGCCCTTGGGAGAAGCGGGGGCGTCACAGGTGGTATCAGAGCGCCTAGGTTAGAGGACTTGGGCAAGTGGGACATACGCGATAGGCACTAGGCATATTTGATTCTTTTAAGCTGAATGATATACTTTAAGCTGAAATACCGGTGAACTGACGAATTAATGTTTTGTAGGTATGTATCCGGGCAGTTCGAGTAGTGCGGGACCTAGTGGCATGGGACCGAGACCTCCGAGTGCGAGGGGCCCAGAGGATTGAGCGCTACGTAAGCGGACGATCCGTTATCGGCAGAGACCTGGAGAGCCTTACACTTTGTACTCCCCTTTTGGTCAGGTGTCACACCGACCTTGTAGGTGTTGGTATACGTACAGTTATCCTGACGAGGTCGTCCTGGGAGTGGACGATTAGCGACGCAGCCTGAGTAGTCAGCTAGAGGAGGCCAGAGAGGTTGGCCATGGGCAGGCGATGCGTATTAGGGACTTGGAGCGGGGTCTCCGAGATGAGATGCAGAGGGTGGACGCTTTACGCCGTCAGCTTCAGGACACCCATCAGCACCTCTCCGCTTTGAAGAGGCAGCTGAATGAGAGGGTGCGGAGTATTTCGATGGACTGCGAGGTCATTCTAGATATGGCCGCGGAGGCACCGCCTCGAGCCACCGGTCCAGAGGGGATGGACGAGGTGGACACGTTAGGTTCCGTTGGGAACCGGGGCCCTAGGGGAGGCGTTTAGGGTCGCTTTTATACTTTTATTTAGCTAGTGGATTACCACTTTCTTTCCTTATTTGGTTGACTGACTAGATTTTTTGGAGCCGGTGCTCATGTGTATATTGGGTTTTGTACCGATTGGAGGTCGGTAATCTGTAAATCTTTTGGTGTGACTTTGTAAATATATGTATATATTTGAGTGGCATTTTGAACTTATCTCTTGTATGTCTTTTGTGCATACGCTTTACGTCCGTACTTTTGCTCATAGTTTGAATAATAAGTATATGTAACGTTCCGATCTATAGACTTGTGCTCCGAAATGGACTCCGGTGGTCAAAGTAGAGCTGGAGAGCAAGAGTGTATGCAATGGGTCAATATGAGGTGACTGACCCTTCGGCGGGTTTCGAAGGTATGCTTTGACCAAAGAATTAATTTCGAGGACGAAATTTTCCTATGTGGGGGAGATTGTGAGGCCCCAATCAGTTCGTAAGTTGATATTAGGGTTATTCATTATTTCGGTGTGGTGAAGTTAGGGTTAAGGCTAAGGAGGAAACCCTAATCTCGGTTAAGATTGAAAACCCTAGTTTATGTATTAGTTTGAAATGGTTAGCAAACTCTAGATTAGCAAATCTCTAGTGTTACAATTTATTAGAAAACTTAAGTGGAGTTTTATTTATCGCCCTCCTTTTTCTACATTTTCTTTATTAGAAAATTCCCCAAATAATTTTTATTGAGTAAATATAGGTTTTAGATAATTTTTCTAGTATCGGTTAGTTTTTGAGAATTTAAGAACATATATCGGACGTGGGACCCACTAGCGCGGAAAGTTCGGAAAAATTCGGCCAACTAGGTTAAGTTTTGGATACTGGAATTAATTTACCGGGTGTGAAGAGATAAGTAGAGGTTGCAATTTGGATTGATATGAGAGAGACAAGTTAGGTAGGTATTTAATAAAAGGTGACAAGTGTCACAATTTGAGTGGTTACCCTTGGTCTTACCAATTGACTAATTAAATCAAAAAAATAACCAAAAATTCTCCATTTCTTCTCCCTTGTTGGCCGGCCCTCTCTCTCAAAAAGAAAGGAAGAAACTCTTCAAGTTTTCCTTCCATTTTGCTCCAAATCATCAAAATCAACCATTGAAACTTGAACTTACTCCATAAAACCTCTTCAATTAGTGTTAGTAAGTTGTTTGGTGGAGTGATTTGGAAAGCTAGGAGGACCTCTTGCTCTCTCTCTCTTGTTTCTAAGGTGAGTTGTGAAGAACCACCCTTCTCCTTTAATTGATGCTTAAATCATGCTTAGTGGTAGTATGAGATGCAAGTTTATGGATTATTTCTTGATTTGTGGTTGAAGTGATGAAGTTTTATTATTTTTGGAGATTTATCTGTTTTAATATAAGCATGATTGTGTGGCTATCTATGATGATTGGCAATGGTATATCATGACTCTAGGAGGTGGAAAAAGTGATTAATTGCAACCAATTTCTGGTTTGGAAGAAATTTCAGAAAATTAGGGTTCTTGTGGGAGCATTCTGCCTGAATTTTTAGCTCCTAGTTAGAGGCCGAATTGGCCTTGGATTAAAACATGAAATTTGTAGGGAATGATATTTTAGAGGAGCCTACAAAATTTCAGGTCAATCGGAGTAGTGTAGAATGAGAAAAGTCGAAATTACTATTGCTGTTTTGGTTTTACCCGAATGTAAGAACTGCGCCTGTAATTGGTTGTTTTGGCTGGAATTGCTTCCGAATTGGTTGTCGAGGTCTTCTGATGAAATGTAGCCCTGTTTCTTTGCTTTCAGCTGGTTTTGGACTTTTTGGATTCGGACTTGGATAGCCTGATTTATGATGTTTCCGCTAGAATGCGTTCTGTGAATCTGTTTTTGTGATTCTGGTGTAGTATTTTGCATTTTTGACCTAGTTACCCTCAAAACTGGACTGAGTAGCCTTCTTCAACATTGTAGCCTCTTAAGTCCTGAATATATCTGCAAAATTTCCGGTCAAACGGATCTGTGTAGCTCGAGTTATAACCAAAACACTCGCACCTATTTTGTACCCTGAAATTGTGTACGTTTTGAATTTCAGCTTCTGACCGTGCATTTTTCAGTTTTGATCCCGTACAATCTGGGTGTCAACTCCTTCATAAGAAATGTAGATCTTGGTTTTAGCTTCGAAACGGTATAAAGTACGTCGAAATTCGAGTTCCGTAGCTTCCGTTGTGATCAAAACAAGATTGATCGTCAGAACTGCCTTTGATCTGGACAGTTCTGACGGGTACTTTGGCACTCAATTTTCGTTCTGTTCTAAATGGATTCAGGTCTTGGCCAAAACATCAAAGTTTTAGCCTTATGTCTCAGCTTTCTAATGCCTTTAGAATTTCCTGATGTAGATATGTGAACTGGGAGTTATGGTCCAGAAAACATACCCTGTTCGTTACTATAGAGTGCGAATTTCTGGAACAATTTTCCATACTTTCGACCTATTTCTGTTCACATCCGGATTTAGATGTCTTCATGAAAATTGTAGCCCTTCCTCTTAGCTTCGCAACGATACCTCATGTACCTTGATCCGACATTCCTAGCCTAACTTTTGATCAAAACGGTTTGAGAAGGCAGATTTGGCCATTTCCGTTTGCCGTTACGCGCGGGCGCGTGCGCCCGTTTTGCCGTTTCCGCACTTGCATGTGCCGATTTTGCCGTTTTGCTTGTTTTAAGTATGTTAGTAGCCGTTTGTGATATATTGTGACACAATCTTCAATTTCAGACGTTGGTGAGTTAGGTGGAGCCGGTGGGGCCTACTAACTACTCCTCGCGGCACGAATTTCGTACTTTTGCTCTTTTGTTCGTTGTGTAAGTATTCAGGCCGCTATTATGTGTTAGTTGCTTATGTGTTTCGATATGTATGAAAAGGGTACCTAGGCGAGGGTGTACTTTATCGTACTCGACCTAAACCCTAATTTACGCACACATTTGTATATGGCATATGTATATGAATCATTTTGGAACTAAACCCCTTGAGCTTGTGGCTCGGGGTGACTTTTGAGTAAATTTTGTGAAGTTTGTGAGTTTGGGGCCAGATCTCATGACCTAGATGGACTATTCGAGCCGGTTAGGGTTTGGTCGAAGTTAGTCAAACCTGGTTTGAGGTCACCAAGTTTGTGTATCCGGTTCACCGATTATGTGGACCAAGTTTGTGACCCGAGCTTGTGAACCAAGCTCAATTTCGTTCGCTCGAGCAAGTTTGTGAGGTGTCTGGCCAGAGAGGATAATAAGGTGTACGGTGGGAGTACAAGTGAAGTTCTACGGACCATTACTTGTGGTCGACGGAGTGTCGGCAGGAGGTCACACATGGCAAACGATCTGGCTTTGGAGCCACCTGTATCCTTATTATGTGATGTTACTTTTCTGCTTTTGCTTTACTCTTACTGTGCAATTGTTAATATGTGAGATTTACGCTTTTGCCCCTGTTTACTTGCTAAGCATATAGCTTACCCCTTTTCTTTTGTTTTCCTTAGTAGGGGCCGACGCGGGGACTTTTGACACATACACTAGTATAGTTAGGTTTGTTTGTAATAGTCGGACAGCTAGGATGTTTGTTTTTGTTTTGGTGATTTGTATAAGAACCCTCCTTAGGGTCTACCTTCTGATGATTGTTATTATAATGTATTAAAGTGGTTTGACTCGATACTTTTGAAGATGTAAATAGAATTTTTGGCAGTTGTATATATTATAAATAGTTCTCTTTTGGTTTAATATAATTTTGTTTGTTTTGTGTTTTGAGTCCTGGCGCGAGTTAGGCAGGCGTCCCGCCGATACCCTAGGGTTCGCCCTTGGGAGAAGCGGGGGCGTCACAGGTGGTATCAGAGCGCCTAGGTTAGAGGACTTGGGCAAGTGGGACATACGCGATAGGCACTAGGCATATTTGATTCTTTTAAGCTGAATGATATACTTTCAGCTGAAATGCCGGTGAACTGACGAATTAATGTTTTGTTGGTATGTATCCGGGCAGTTCGAGTAGTGCGGGACCTAGTGGCATGGGACCGAGACCTCCGAGTGCGAGGGGCCCAGAGGATCGAGCGCTGCGTAAGCGGGCGATCCGTTATCGGCAGAGACCTGGAGAGCCTTACACTTTGTACTCCCTTTTTGGTCAGGTGTCACACCGACCTTGTAGGTGTTGGTATACGTACAGTTATCCTGACGAGGTCGTCCTGGCAGTGGACGATGAGCGACGCAGCCTGAGTAGTCAGCTAGAGGAGGCCAGAGAGGTTGGCCATGAGCAGCCGATGCGTATTAGGGACTTGGAGCGGGGTCTCCGAGATGAGATGCAGAGGGTGGACGCTTTACGCCGTCAGCTTCAGGACACCCATCAGCACCTCTTCGCTTTGAAGAGGCAGCTGAAGGAGAGGGTGCGGAGTATTTCGATGGACTGCGAGGTCATTCTAGATATGGCCGCGGAGGCACCGCCTCGAGCCACCGGTCCAGAGGGGATGGACGAGGTGGACACGTTAGGTTCCGTTGGAAACCTGGGCCCTAGGGGAGGCGTTTAGGGTCGCTTTTATACTTTTGTTTAGCTAGTGGATTACCACTTTCTTTCGTTATTTGGTTGACTGACTAGATTTTTTGGAGCCGGTGCTCATGTGTACATTGGGTTTTGTACCGATTGGAGGTCGGTAATCTGTAAATCTTTTGGTGTGACTTTGTAAATATATGTATATATTTGAGTGGCATTTTGAACTTATCTCTTGTATGTCTTTTGTGCATACGCTTTACGTCCGTACTTTTGCTCATAGTTTGAATAATAAGTATATGTAACGTTCCGATCTATAGACTTGTGCTCCGAAATGGACTCCGGTGGTCAAAGTAGAGCTGGAGAGCAAGAGTGTATGCAATGGGTCAATATGAGGTGACTGACCCTTCGGCGGGTTTCGAAGGTATGCTTTGACCAAAGAATTAATTTCGAGGACGAAATTTTCCTATGTGGGGGAGATTGTGAGGCCCCAATCAGTTCGTAAGTTGATATTAGGGTTATTCATTATTTCGGTGTGGTGAAATTAGGGTTAAAGCTAAGGAGGAAACCCTAATCTCGGTTAAGATTGAAAACCCTAGTTTATGTATTAGTTTGAAATGGTTAGCAAACTCTAGATTAGCAAACCTCTAGTGTTACAATTTATTAGAAAGCTTAAGTGGAGTTTTATTTATCGCCCGCCTTTTTCTACATTTTCTTTATTAGAAAATTCCCCAGATAATTTTTATTGAGTAAATATAGGTTTTAGATGATTTTTCTAGTATCGGTTAGTTTTTGAGAAATTAAGAACATATATCGGACGTGGGACCCACTAGCGCGGAAAGTTCGAAAAAATTCGGCCAACTAGGTTAGGTTTTGGATACTGGAATTAATTTATCGGGTATTAAGAGATAAGTAGAGGTTGCAATTTGGATTGATATGAGAGAGACAAGTTAGGTAGGTATTTAATAAAAGGTGACAAGTGTCACCATTTGAGTGGTCTACCCTTAAGACCACTATTCATGGTCTTACCAATTGACTAATTAAATAAAAAAAACAACCAAAAATTCTCCATTTCTTCTCCTTTGTTGGCCGGCCCTCTCTCTCAAAAAGAAAGGAAGAAACTCTTCAAGTTTTCCTTCCATTTTGCTCCAAATCATCAAAATCAACCATTGAAACTTGAACTTACTCCATAAAACCTCTTCAATTAGTGTTAGTAAGTTGTTTGGTGGAGTGATTTGGAAAGCTAGGAGGACCTCTTGCTCTCTCTCTCTTGTTTCTAAGGTGAGTTGTGAAGAACCACCCTTCTCCTTTAATTGATGCTTAAATCATGCTTAGTGGTAGTATGAGATGCAAGTTTATGGATTATTTCTTGATTTGTGGTTGAAGTGATGAAGTTTTATTATTTTTGGAGATTTATCTGTTTTAATATAAGCATAATTGTGTGGCTATCTATGATGATTGGCAATGGTATATCATGACTCTAGGAGGTGGAAAAAGAGATTAATTGCAACCAATTTCTGGTTTGGAAGAAATTTCAGAAAATTAGGGTTCTTGTGGGAGCATTCTGCCTGAATTTTTAGCTCCTAGTTAGAGGCCGAATTGGCCTTGGATTAAAACATGAAATTTGTAGGGAATGATATTTTAGAGGAGCCTACAAAATTTCAGGTCAATCGGAGTAGTGTAGAATGAGAAAAGTCGAAATTACTATTGCTGTTTTGGTTTTACCCGAATGTAAGAACTGCGCCTGTAATTGGTTGTTTTGGCTGGAATTGCTTCCGAATTGGTTGTCGAGGTCTTCTGATGAAATGTAGCCCTGTTTCTTTGCTTTCAGCTGGTTTTGGACTTTTTGGATTCGGACTTGGATAGCCTGATTTATGATGTTTCCGCTAGAATGCGTTCTGTGAATCTGTTTTTGTGATTCTGGTGTAGTATTTTGCATTTTTGACCTAGTTACCCTCAAAACTGGACTGAGTAGCCTTCTTCAACATTGTAGCCTCTTAAGTCCTGAATATATCTGCAAAATTTCCGGTCAAACGGATCTGTGTAGCTCGAGTTATAACCAAAACACTCGCACCTATTTTGTACCCTGAAATTGTGTACGTTTTGAATTTCAGCTTCTGACCGTGCATTTTTCAGTTTTGATCCCGTACAATCTGGGTGTCAACTCCTTCATAAGAAATGTAGATCTTGGTTTTAGCTTCGAAACGGTATAAAGTACGTCGAAATTCGAGTTCCGTAGCTTCCGTTGTGATCAAAACAAGATTGATCGTCAGAACTGCCTTTGATCTGGACAGTTCTGACGGGTACTTTGGCACTCAATTTTCGTTCTGTTCTAAATGGATTCAGGTCTTGGCCAAAACATCAAAGTTTTAGCCTTATGTCTCAGCTTTCTAATGCCTTTAGAATTTCCTGATGTAGATATGTGAACTGGGAGTTATGGTCCAGAAAACATACCCTGTTCGTTACTATAGAGTGCGAATTTCTGGAACAATTTTCCATACTTTCGACCTATTTCTGTTCACATCCGGATTTAGATGTCTTCATGAAAATTGTAGCCCTTCCTCTTAGCTTCGCAACGATACCTCATGTACCTTGATCCGACATTCCTAGCCTAACTTTTGATCAAAACGGTTTGAGAAGGCAGATTTGGCCATTTCCGTTTGCCGTTACGCGCGGGCGCGTGCGCCCGTTTTGCCGTTTCCGCACTTGCATGTGCCGATTTTGCCGTTTTGCTTGTTTTAAGTATGTTAGTAGCCGTTTGTGATATATTGTGACACAATCTTCAATTTCAGACGTTGGTGAGTTAGGTGGAGCCGGTGGGGCCTACTAACTACTCCTCGCGGCACGAATTTCGTACTTTTGCTCTTTTGTTCGTTGTGTAAGTATTCAGGCCGCTCTTATGTGTTAGTTGCTTATGTGTTTCGATATGTATGAAAAGGGTACCTAGGCGAGGGTGTACTTTATCGTACTCGACCTAAACCCTAATTTACACACACATTTGTATATGGCATATGTATATGAATCATTTTGGAACTAAACCCCTTGAGCTTGTGGCTCGGGGTGACTTTTGAGTAAATTTTGTGAAGTTTGTGAGTTTGGGGCCAGATCTCATGACCTAGATGGACTATTCGAGCCGGTTAGGGCTTGGTCGAAGTTAGTCAAACCTGGTTTGAGGTCACCAAGTTTGTGTATCCGGTTCACCGATTATGTGGACCAAGTTTGTGACCCGAGCTTGTGAACCAAGCTCAATTTCGTTCGCTCGAGCAAGTTTGTGAGGTGTCTGGCCAGAGAGGATAATAAGGTGTACGGTGGGAGTACAAGTGAAGTTCTACGGACCATTACTTGTGGTCGACGGAGTGTCGGCAGGAGGTCACACATGGCAAACGATCTGGCTTTGGAGCCACCTGTATCCTTATTATGTGATGTTACTTTTCTGCTTTTGCTTTACTCTTACTGTGCAATTGTTAATATGTGAGATTTACGCTTTTGCCCCTGTTTACTTGCTAAGCATATAGCTTACCCCTTTTCTTTTGTTTTCCTTAGTAGGGGCCGACGCGGGGACTTTTGACACATACACTAGTATAGTTAGGTTTGTTTGTAATAGTCGGACAGCTAGGATGTTTGTTTTTGTTTTGGTGATTTGTATAAGAACCCTCCTTAGGGTCTACCTTCTGATGATTGTTATTATAATGTATTAAAGTGGTTTGACTCGATACTTTTGAAGATGTAAATAGAATTTTTGGCAGTTGTATATATTATAAATAGTTCTCTTTTGGTTTAATATAATTTTGTTTGTTTTGTGTTTTGAGTCCTGGCGCGAGTTAGGCAGGCGTCCCGCCGATACCCTTGGGTTCGCCCTTGGGAGAAGCGGGGGCGTCACAGGTGGTATCAGAGCGCCTAGGTTAGAGGACTTGGGCAAGTGGGACATACGCGATAGGCACTAGGCATATTTGATTCTTTTAAGCTGAAATGCCGGTGAACTGACGAATTAATGTTTTGTAGGTATGTATCCGGGCAGTTCGAGTAGTGCGAGACCTATTGGAATGGGACCGAGACCTCCGAGTGCGAGGGGCCCAGAGGATCGAGCGCTGCGTAAGCGGGCGATCCGTTATCGGCAGAGACCTGGAGAGCCTTACACTTTGTACTCCCTTTTTGGTCAGGTGTCACACCGACCTTGTAGGTGTTGGTATACGTACAGTTATCCTGACGAGGTCGTCCTGGCAGTGGACGATGAGCGACGCAGCCTGAGTAGTCAGCTAGAGGAGGCCAGAGAGGTTGGCCATGAGCAGCCGATGCGTATTAGGGACTTGGAGCGGGGTCTCCGAGATGAGATGCAGAGGGTGGACGCTTTACGCCGTCAGCTTCAGGACACCCATCAGCACCTCTTCGCTTTGAAGAGGCAGCTGAAGGAGAGGGTGCGGAGTATTTCGATGGACTGCGAGGTCATTCTAGATATGGCCGCGGAGGCACCGCCTCGAGCCACCGGTCCAGAGGGGATGGACGAGGTGGACACGTTAGGTTCCGTTGGAAACCTGGGCCCTAGGGGAGGCGTTTAGGGTCGCTTTTATACTTTTGTTTAGCTAGTGGATTACCACTTTCTTTCGTTATTTGGTTGACTGACTAGATTTTTTGGAGCCGGTGCTCATGTGTACATTGGGTTTTGTACCGATTGGAGGTCGGTAATCTGTAAATCTTTTGGTGTGACTTTGTAAATATATGTATATATTTGAGTGGCATTTTGAACTTATCTCTTGTATGTCTTTTGTGCATACGCTTTACGTCCGTACTTTTGCTCATAGTTTGAATAATAAGTATATGTAACGTTCCGATCTATAGACTTGTGCTCCGAAATGGACTCCGGTGGTCAAAGTAGAGCTGGAGAGCAAGAGTGTATGCAATGGGTCAATATGAGGTGACTGACCCTTCGGCGGGTTTCGAAGGTATGCTTTGACCAAAGAATTAATTTCGAGGACGAAATTTTCCTATGTGGGGGAGATTGTGAGGCCCCAATCAGTTCGTAAGTTGATATTAGGGTTATTCATTATTTCGGTGTGGTGAAATTAGGGTTAAAGCTAAGGAGGAAACCCTAATCTCGGTTAAGATTGAAAACCCTAGTTTATGTATTAGTTTGAAATGGTTAGCAAACTCTAGATTAGCAAACCTCTAGTGTTACAATTTATTAGAAAGCTTAAGTGGAGTTTTATTTATCGCCCGCCTTTTTCTACATTTTCTTTATTAGAAAATTCCCCAGATAATTTTTATTGAGTAAATATAGGTTTTAGATGATTTTTCTAGTATCGGTTAGTTTTTGAGAAATTAAGAACATATATCGGACGTGGGACCCACTAGCGCGGAAAGTTCGAAAAAATTCGGCCAACTAGGTTAGGTTTTGGATACTGGAATTAATTTATCGGGTGTTAAGAGATAAGTAGAGGTTGCAATTTGGATTGATATGAGAGAGACAAGTTAGGTAGGTATTTAATAAAAGGTGACAAGTGTCACCATTTGAGTGGTCTACCCTTAAGACCACTATTCATGGTCTTACCAATTGACTAATTAAATAAAAAAAACAACCAAAAATTCTCCATTTCTTCTCCCTTGTTGGCCGGCCCTCTCTCTCAAAAAGAAAGGAAGAAACTCTTCAAGTTTTGCTTCCATTTTGCTTCAAATCATCAAAACCAACCATTGAAACTTGAACTTACTCCATAAAACCTCTTCAATTAGTGTTAGTAAGTTGTTTGGTGGAGTGATTTGGAAAGCTAGGAGGACCTCTTGCTCTCTCTCTCTTGTTTCTAAGGTGAGTTGTGAAGAACCACCCTTCTCCTCTAATTGATGCTTAAATCGTGCTTAGTGGTAGTATGAGATGCAAGTTTATGGATTATTTCTTTATTTGTGGTTGAAGTGATGAAGTTTTATTATTTTTGGGGATTTTTCTGTTTTAATATAAGCATGATTGTGTGGCTATCTATGATGATTGGCAATGGTATATAATGACTCTAGGAGGTGGAAAAAGTGATTAATTGCAACCAATTTCTGGTTTGGAAGAAATTTCAGAAAATTAGGGTTCTTGTGGGAGCATTCTGCCCGAATTTTTAGCTCCTATTTAGAGGCCGAATTGGCCTTGGATTAAAACATAAAAGTTGTAGGGAATGATATTTTAGAGGCTCCTACAAAATTTCAGGTCAATTGGAGTAGTGTAGAATGAGAAAAGTCAAAATTACTATTGCTGTTCTGGTTTTACCCGAATGTAAGAACTGCGCCTGTAATTGGTTGTTTTGGCTGGAATTGCTTCCGAATTGGTTGTCGAGGTCTTCTGATGAAATGTATCCCTGTTTCTTAGCTTTCAGCTGGTTTTGGACTTTCTGGATTCGGACTTGGATAGCCTGATTTATGATGTTTCCGCTAGAATGCGTTCTGTGAATCTGTTTTTGTGATTCTGGTGTAGTATTTTGCATTTTTGACCTAGTTACCCTCGAAACTGGACTGAGTAGCCTTCTTCAACATTGTATCCTCTTAAATCCTGAATATATCTGCAAATTTTCCGGTCAAACGGATCTGTGTAGCTCGAGTTATAACCAAAACACTCGCACCTGTTTTGTACCCTGAAATTGTGTACGTTTTGAATTTCAGCTTCTGACCGTGCATTTTTCCGTTTTGATCCCGTATGATCTGGGTGTCAACTCCTTCATAAGAAATGTAGATCTTGGTTTTAGCTTCGAAACGGTATAAAGTACGTCGAAATCCGAGTTCCGTAGCTTCCGTTATAATCAAAACAAGATTGATCCTCAGAACTGCCTTTGATCTGGACAGTTCTGACGGGTACATTGGCACTCAATTTTTGTTCTATTCTGAATGGATTCAGGTCTTGGCTAAAACATCAAAGTTTTAGCCTTATGTCTCAGCTTTCTAGTGCTTTTGGAATTTCCTGATTTAGATTTGTGAGCTGGGAGTTATGTTCCAGAAAACATACCCTGTTCGTTACTATAGAGTGCGAATTTCTGAAACGATTTTCCATACTTTCAACCTATTTCTGTTCAGATCCGGATTTAGGTGTCTTCATGAAAATTGTATCCCTTCCTCTTAGCTTCGCAACGGTACCTCATGTACCTTGATCCGATATTCCTAGCCTAACTTTTGATCAAAACGGTTTGAGAAGGAAGATTTGGCCATTTCCGTTTGCCGTTCCGCGCGGGCGCGTTCGCCCTTTTTGCCGTTTCCGCACTTGCATGTGCCGATTTTACCGTTTTGCTTGTTTTAAATATGTTAGTAGCTGTTTGTGATATATTGTGACACAATCTTCAATTTCAGACGTTTGTGAGTTAGGTGGAGCCGGTGGGGCCTACTAACTACTCCTCGCGGCACGAATTTCGTACTTTTGCTCTTTTGTTCGTTGTGTAAGTATTCAGGCCGCTCTTATGTGTTAGTTGCTTATGTGTTTCGATATGTATGAATAGGGTACCTAGGCGAGGGTGTACTTTATCGCACTCGACCTAAACCCTAATTTACGCACACATTTGTATATGACATATGTATATGAATCATTTTGGAACTAAACCCCTTGAGCTTGTGGCTCGGGGTGACTTTTGAGTAAATTTTGTGAAGTTTGTGAGTTTGGGGCCAGATCTCATGACCTAGATGGACTATTCGAGCCGGTTAGGGCTTGGTCGAAGTTAGTCCAACCTGGTTTGAGGTCACCAAGTTTGTGAATCCGGTTCACCGATTATGTGGACCAAGTTTGTGACCCGAGCTTGTGAACCAAACTCAATTTCGTTCGCTCGAGCAAGTTTGTGAGGTGTCTGGCCAGAGAGGGTGATAAGGAGTACGGTGGGAGTACAAGTGAAGTTCTACGGACCATTACTTGTGATCGACGGAGTGTCGGCAGGAGGTCACACATGGCAAACGATCTGGCTTTGGAGCAACCTGTATCCTTATTATGTGATGTTACTTTTCTGCTTTTGCTTTACTCTTACTGTGCAATTGTTAATATGTGAGATTTACGCTTTTGCCCCTGTTTACTTGCTAAGCATATAGCTTACCCCATTTCTTTTGTTTTCCTTAGCAGGGGCCGACGCGGGGACTTTTGACACATACACTAGTATAGTTAGGTTTGTTTGTAATAGTCGGACAGCTAGGATGTTTGTTTTTGTTTTGGTGATTTGTATAAGAACCCTCCTTAGGGTCTACCTTCTGATGATTGTTATTATAATGTATTAAAGTGGTTTGACTCGATACTTTTGAAGATGTAAATAAAATTTTTGGCAGTTGTATATATTATAAATAGTTCTCTTTTGGTTTAATATAATTTTGTTAGCTTTGTGTTTTGAGTCCTGGCGCGAGTTAGGCAGGCGTCCCGCCGATACCCTAGGGTTCGCCCTTGGGAGAAGCGGGGGCGTCACAGGTGGTATCAGAGCGCCTAGGTTAGAGGACTTGGGCAAGTGGGACATACGCGATAGGCACTAGGCATATTTGATTCTTTTAAGCTGAATGATATACTTTAAGCTGAAATACCGGTGAACTGACGAATTAATGTTTTGTAGGTATGTATCCGGGCAGTTCGAGTAGTGCGGGACCTAGTGGCATGGGACCGAGACCTCCGAGTGCGAGGGGCCCAGAGGATTGAGCGCTACGTAAGCGGACGATCCGTTATCGGCAGAGACCTGGAGAGCCTTACACTTTGTACTCCCCTTTTGGTCAGGTGTCACACCGACCTTGTAGGTGTTGGTATACGTACAGTTATCCTGACGAGGTCGTCCTGGGAGTGGACGATTAGCGACGCAGCCTGAGTAGTCAGCTAGAGGAGGCCAGAGAGGTTGGCCATGGGCAGGCGATGCGTATTAGGGACTTGGAGCGGGGTCTCCGAGATGAGATGCAGAGGGTGGACGCTTTACGCCGTCAGCTTCAGGACACCCATCAGCACCTCTCCGCTTTGAAGAGGCAGCTGAATGAGAGGGTGCGGAGTATTTCGATGGACTGCGAGGTCATTCTAGATATGGCCGCGGAGGCACCGCCTCGAGCCACCGGTCCAGAGGGGATGGACGAGGTGGACACGTTAGGTTCCGTTGGGAACCGGGGCCCTAGGGGAGGCGTTTAGGGTCGCTTTTATACTTTTATTTAGCTAGTGGATTACCACTTTCTTTCCTTATTTGGTTGACTGACTAGATTTTTTGGAGCCGGTGCTCATGTGTATATTGGGTTTTGTACCGATTGGAGGTCGGTAATCTGTAAATCTTTTGGTGTGACTTTGTAAATATATGTATATATTTGAGTGGCATTTTGAACTTATCTCTTGTATGTCTTTTGTGCATACGCTTTACGTCCGTACTTTTGCTCATAGTTTGAATAATAAGTATATGTAACGTTCCGATCTATAGACTTGTGCTCCGAAATGGACTCCGGTGGTCAAAGTAGAGCTGGAGAGCAAGAGTGTATGCAATGGGTCAATATGAGGTGACTGACCCTTCGGCGGGTTTCGAAGGTATGCTTTGACCAAAGAATTAATTTCGAGGACGAAATTTTCCTATGTGGGGGAGATTGTGAGGCCCCAATCAGTTCGTAAGTTGATATTAGGGTTATTCATTATTTCGGTGTGGTGAAGTTAGGGTTAAGGCTAAGGAGGAAACCCTAATCTCGGTTAAGATTGAAAACCCTAGTTTATGTATTAGTTTGAAATGGTTAGCAAACTCTAGATTAGCAAATCTCTAGTGTTACAATTTATTAGAAAACTTAAGTGGAGTTTTATTTATCGCCCTCCTTTTTCTACATTTTCTTTATTAGAAAATTCCCCAAATAATTTTTATTGAGTAAATATAGGTTTTAGATAATTTTTCTAGTATCGGTTAGTTTTTGAGAATTTAAGAACATATATCGGACGTGGGACCCACTAGCGCGGAAAGTTCGGAAAAATTCGGCCAACTAGGTTAAGTTTTGGATACTGGAATTAATTTACCGGGTGTGAAGAGATAAGTAGAGGTTGCAATTTGGATTGATATGAGAGAGACAAGTTAGGTAGGTATTTAATAAAAGGTGACAAGTGTCACAATTTGAGTGGTTACCCTTGGTCTTACCAATTGACTAATTAAATCAAAAAAATAACCAAAAATTCTCCATTTCTTCTCCCTTGTTGGCCGGCCCTCTCTCTCAAAAAGAAAGGAAGAAACTCTTCAAGTTTTCCTTCCATTTTGCTCCAAATCATCAAAATCAACCATTGAAACTTGAACTTACTCCATAAAACCTCTTCAATTAGTGTTAGTAAGTTGTTTGGTGGAGTGATTTGGAAAGCTAGGAGGACCTCTTGCTCTCTCTCTCTTGTTTCTAAGGTGAGTTGTGAAGAACCACCCTTCTCCTTTAATTGATGCTTAAATCATGCTTAGTGGTAGTATGAGATGCAAGTTTATGGATTATTTCTTGATTTGTGGTTGAAGTGATGAAGTTTTATTATTTTTGGAGATTTATCTGTTTTAATATAAGCATGATTGTGTGGCTATCTATGATGATTGGCAATGGTATATCATGACTCTAGGAGGTGGAAAAAGTGATTAATTGCAACCAATTTCTGGTTTGGAAGAAATTTCAGAAAATTAGGGTTCTTGTGGGAGCATTCTGCCTGAATTTTTAGCTCCTAGTTAGAGGCCGAATTGGCCTTGGATTAAAACATGAAATTTGTAGGGAATGATATTTTAGAGGAGCCTACAAAATTTCAGGTCAATCGGAGTAGTGTAGAATGAGAAAAGTCGAAATTACTATTGCTGTTTTGGTTTTACCCGAATGTAAGAACTGCGCCTGTAATTGGTTGTTTTGGCTGGAATTGCTTCCGAATTGGTTGTCGAGGTCTTCTGATGAAATGTAGCCCTGTTTCTTTGCTTTCAGCTGGTTTTGGACTTTTTGGATTCGGACTTGGATAGCCTGATTTATGATGTTTCCGCTAGAATGCGTTCTGTGAATCTGTTTTTGTGATTCTGGTGTAGTATTTTGCATTTTTGACCTAGTTACCCTCAAAACTGGACTGAGTAGCCTTCTTCAACATTGTAGCCTCTTAAGTCCTGAATATATCTGCAAAATTTCCGGTCAAACGGATCTGTGTAGCTCGAGTTATAACCAAAACACTCGCACCTATTTTGTACCCTGAAATTGTGTACGTTTTGAATTTCAGCTTCTGACCGTGCATTTTTCAGTTTTGATCCCGTACAATCTGGGTGTCAACTCCTTCATAAGAAATGTAGATCTTGGTTTTAGCTTCGAAACGGTATAAAGTACGTCGAAATTCGAGTTCCGTAGCTTCCGTTGTGATCAAAACAAGATTGATCGTCAGAACTGCCTTTGATCTGGACAGTTCTGACGGGTACTTTGGCACTCAATTTTCGTTCTGTTCTAAATGGATTCAGGTCTTGGCCAAAACATCAAAGTTTTAGCCTTATGTCTCAGCTTTCTAATGCCTTTAGAATTTCCTGATGTAGATATGTGAACTGGGAGTTATGGTCCAGAAAACATACCCTGTTCGTTACTATAGAGTGCGAATTTCTGGAACAATTTTCCATACTTTCGACCTATTTCTGTTCACATCCGGATTTAGATGTCTTCATGAAAATTGTAGCCCTTCCTCTTAGCTTCGCAACGATACCTCATGTACCTTGATCCGACATTCCTAGCCTAACTTTTGATCAAAACGGTTTGAGAAGGCAGATTTGGCCATTTCCGTTTGCCGTTACGCGCGGGCGCGTGCGCCCGTTTTGCCGTTTCCGCACTTGCATGTGCCGATTTTGCCGTTTTGCTTGTTTTAAGTATGTTAGTAGCCGTTTGTGATATATTGTGACACAATCTTCAATTTCAGACGTTGGTGAGTTAGGTGGAGCCGGTGGGGCCTACTAACTACTCCTCGCGGCACGAATTTCGTACTTTTGCTCTTTTGTTCGTTGTGTAAGTATTCAGGCCGCTATTATGTGTTAGTTGCTTATGTGTTTCGATATGTATGAAAAGGGTACCTAGGCGAGGGTGTACTTTATCGTACTCGACCTAAACCCTAATTTACGCACACATTTGTATATGGCATATGTATATGAATCATTTTGGAACTAAACCCCTTGAGCTTGTGGCTCGGGGTGACTTTTGAGTAAATTTTGTGAAGTTTGTGAGTTTGGGGCCAGATCTCATGACCTAGATGGACTATTCGAGCCGGTTAGGGTTTGGTCGAAGTTAGTCAAACCTGGTTTGAGGTCACCAAGTTTGTGTATCCGGTTCACCGATTATGTGGACCAAGTTTGTGACCCGAGCTTGTGAACCAAGCTCAATTTCGTTCGCTCGAGCAAGTTTGTGAGGTGTCTGGCCAGAGAGGATAATAAGGTGTACGGTGGGAGTACAAGTGAAGTTCTACGGACCATTACTTGTGGTCGACGGAGTGTCGGCAGGAGGTCACACATGGCAAACGATCTGGCTTTGGAGCCACCTGTATCCTTATTATGTGATGTTACTTTTCTGCTTTTGCTTTACTCTTACTGTGCAATTGTTAATATGTGAGATTTACGCTTTTGCCCCTGTTTACTTGCTAAGCATATATCTTACCCCTTTTCTTTTGTTTTCCTTAGTAGGGGCCGACGCGGGGACTTTTGACACATACACTAGTATAGTTAGGTTTGTTTGTAATAGTCGGACAGCTAGGATGTTTGTTTTTGTTTTGGTGATTTGTATAAGAACCCTCCTTAGGGTCTACCTTCTGATGATTGTTATTATAATGTATTAAAGTGGTTTGACTCGATACTTTTGAAGATGTAAATAGAATTTTTGGCAGTTGTATATATTATAAATAGTTCTCTTTTGGTTTAATATAATTTTGTTTGTTTTGTGTTTTGAGTCCTGGCGCGAGTTAGGCAGGCGTCCCGCCGATACCCTAGGGTTCGCCCTTGGGAGAAGCGGGGGCGTCACAGGTGGTATCAGAGCGCCTAGGTTAGAGGACTTGGGCAAGTGGGACATACGCGATAGGCACTAGGCATATTTGATTCTTTTAAGCTGAATGATATACTTTCAGCTGAAATGCCGGTGAACTGACGAATTAATGTTTTGTTGGTATGTATCCGGGCAGTTCGAGTAGTGCGGGACCTAGTGGCATGGGACCGAGACCTCCGAGTGCGAGGGGCCCAGAGGATCGAGCGCTGCGTAAGCGGGCGATCCGTTATCGGCAGAGACCTGGAGAGCCTTACACTTTGTACTCCCTTTTTGGTCAGGTGTCACACCGACCTTGTAGGTGTTGGTATACGTACAGTTATCCTGACGAGGTCGTCCTGGCAGTGGACGATGAGCGACGCAGCCTGAGTAGTCAGCTAGAGGAGGCCAGAGAGGTTGGCCATGAGCAGCCGATGCGTATTAGGGACTTGGAGCGGGGTCTCCGAGATGAGATGCAGAGGGTGGACGCTTTACGCCGTCAGCTTCAGGACACCCATCAGCACCTCTTCGCTTTGAAGAGGCAGCTGAAGGAGAGGGTGCGGAGTATTTCGATGGACTGCGAGGTCATTCTAGATATGGCCGCGGAGGCACCGCCTCGAGCCACCGGTCCAGAGGGGATGGACGAGGTGGACACGTTAGGTTCCGTTGGAAACCTGGGCCCTAGGGGAGGCGTTTAGGGTCGCTTTTATACTTTTGTTTAGCTAGTGGATTACCACTTTCTTTCGTTATTTGGTTGACTGACTAGATTTTTTGGAGCCGGTGCTCATGTGTACATTGGGTTTTGTACCGATTGGAGGTCGGTAATCTGTAAATCTTTTGGTGTGACTTTGTAAATATATGTATATATTTGAGTGGCATTTTGAACTTATCTCTTGTATGTCTTTTGTGCATACGCTTTACGTCCGTACTTTTGCTCATAGTTTGAATAATAAGTATATGTAACGTTCCGATCTATAGACTTGTGCTCCGAAATGGACTCCGGTGGTCAAAGTAGAGCTGGAGAGCAAGAGTGTATGCAATGGGTCAATATGAGGTGACTGACCCTTCGGCGGGTTTCGAAGGTATGCTTTGACCAAAGAATTAATTTCGAGGACGAAATTTTCCTATGTGGGGGAGATTGTGAGGCCCCAATCAGTTCGTAAGTTGATATTAGGGTTATTCATTATTTCGGTGTGGTGAAATTAGGGTTAAAGCTAAGGAGGAAACCCTAATCTCGGTTAAGATTGAAAACCCTAGTTTATGTATTAGTTTGAAATGGTTAGCAAACTCTAGATTAGCAAACCTCTAGTGTTACAATTTATTAGAAAGCTTAAGTGGAGTTTTATTTATCGCCCGCCTTTTTCTACATTTTCTTTATTAGAAAATTCCCCAGATAATTTTTATTGAGTAAATATAGGTTTTAGATGATTTTTCTAGTATCGGTTAGTTTTTGAGAAATTAAGAACATATATCGGACGTGGGACCCACTAGCGCGGAAAGTTCGAAAAAATTCGGCCAACTAGGTTAGGTTTTGGATACTGGAATTAATTTATCGGGTATTAAGAGATAAGTAGAGGTTGCAATTTGGATTGATATGAGAGAGACAAGTTAGGTAGGTATTTAATAAAAGGTGACAAGTGTCACCATTTGAGTGGTCTACCCTTAAGACCACTATTCATGGTCTTACCAATTGACTAATTAAATAAAAAAAACAACCAAAAATTCTCCATTTCTTCTCCTTTGTTGGCCGGCCCTCTCTCTCAAAAAGAAAGGAAGAAACTCTTCAAGTTTTCCTTCCATTTTGCTCCAAATCATCAAAATCAACCATTGAAACTTGAACTTACTCCATAAAACCTCTTCAATTAGTGTTAGTAAGTTGTTTGGTGGAGTGATTTGGAAAGCTAGGAGGACCTCTTGCTCTCTCTCTCTTGTTTCTAAGGTGAGTTGTGAAGAACCACCCTTCTCCTTTAATTGATGCTTAAATCATGCTTAGTGGTAGTATGAGATGCAAGTTTATGGATTATTTCTTGATTTGTGGTTGAAGTGATGAAGTTTTATTATTTTTGGAGATTTATCTGTTTTAATATAAGCATAATTGTGTGGCTATCTATGATGATTGGCAATGGTATATCATGACTCTAGGAGGTGGAAAAAGAGATTAATTGCAACCAATTTCTGGTTTGGAAGAAATTTCAGAAAATTAGGGTTCTTGTGGGAGCATTCTGCCTGAATTTTTAGCTCCTAGTTAGAGGCCGAATTGGCCTTGGATTAAAACATGAAATTTGTAGGGAATGATATTTTAGAGGAGCCTACAAAATTTCAGGTCAATCGGAGTAGTGTAGAATGAGAAAAGTCGAAATTACTATTGCTGTTTTGGTTTTACCCGAATGTAAGAACTGCGCCTGTAATTGGTTGTTTTGGCTGGAATTGCTTCCGAATTGGTTGTCGAGGTCTTCTGATGAAATGTAGCCCTGTTTCTTTGCTTTCAGCTGGTTTTGGACTTTTTGGATTCGGACTTGGATAGCCTGATTTATGATGTTTCCGCTAGAATGCGTTCTGTGAATCTGTTTTTGTGATTCTGGTGTAGTATTTTGCATTTTTGACCTAGTTACCCTCAAAACTGGACTGAGTAGCCTTCTTCAACATTGTAGCCTCTTAAGTCCTGAATATATCTGCAAAATTTCCGGTCAAACGGATCTGTGTAGCTCGAGTTATAACCAAAACACTCGCACCTATTTTGTACCCTGAAATTGTGTACGTTTTGAATTTCAGCTTCTGACCGTGCATTTTTCAGTTTTGATCCCGTACAATCTGGGTGTCAACTCCTTCATAAGAAATGTAGATCTTGGTTTTAGCTTCGAAACGGTATAAAGTACGTCGAAATTCGAGTTCCGTAGCTTCCGTTGTGATCAAAACAAGATTGATCGTCAGAACTGCCTTTGATCTGGACAGTTCTGACGGGTACTTTGGCACTCAATTTTCGTTCTGTTCTAAATGGATTCAGGTCTTGGCCAAAACATCAAAGTTTTAGCCTTATGTCTCAGCTTTCTAATGCCTTTAGAATTTCCTGATGTAGATATGTGAACTGGGAGTTATGGTCCAGAAAACATACCCTGTTCGTTACTATAGAGTGCGAATTTCTGGAACAATTTTCCATACTTTCGACCTATTTCTGTTCACATCCGGATTTAGATGTCTTCATGAAAATTGTAGCCCTTCCTCTTAGCTTCGCAACGATACCTCATGTACCTTGATCCGACATTCCTAGCCTAACTTTTGATCAAAACGGTTTGAGAAGGCAGATTTGGCCATTTCCGTTTGCCGTTACGCGCGGGCGCGTGCGCCCGTTTTGCCGTTTCCGCACTTGCATGTGCCGATTTTGCCGTTTTGCTTGTTTTAAGTATGTTAGTAGCCGTTTGTGATATATTGTGACACAATCTTCAATTTCAGACGTTGGTGAGTTAGGTGGAGCCGGTGGGGCCTACTAACTACTCCTCGCGGCACGAATTTCGTACTTTTGCTCTTTTGTTCGTTGTGTAAGTATTCAGGCCGCTCTTATGTGTTAGTTGCTTATGTGTTTCGATATGTATGAAAAGGGTACCTAGGCGAGGGTGTACTTTATCGTACTCGACCTAAACCCTAATTTACACACACATTTGTATATGGCATATGTATATGAATCATTTTGGAACTAAACCCCTTGAGCTTGTGGCTCGGGGTGACTTTTGAGTAAATTTTGTGAAGTTTGTGAGTTTGGGGCCAGATCTCATGACCTAGATGGACTATTCGAGCCGGTTAGGGCTTGGTCGAAGTTAGTCAAACCTGGTTTGAGGTCACCAAGTTTGTGTATCCGGTTCACCGATTATGTGGACCAAGTTTGTGACCCGAGCTTGTGAACCAAGCTCAATTTCGTTCGCTCGAGCAAGTTTGTGAGGTGTCTGGCCAGAGAGGATAATAAGGTGTACGGTGGGAGTACAAGTGAAGTTCTACGGACCATTACTTGTGGTCGACGGAGTGTCGGCAGGAGGTCACACATGGCAAACGATCTGGCTTTGGAGCCACCTGTATCCTTATTATGTGATGTTACTTTTCTGCTTTTGCTTTACTCTTACTGTGCAATTGTTAATATGTGAGATTTACGCTTTTGCCCCTGTTTACTTGCTAAGCATATATCTTACCCCTTTTCTTTTGTTTTCCTTAGTAGGGGCCGACGCGGGGACTTTTGACACATACACTAGTATAGTTAGGTTTGTTTGTAATAGTCGGACAGCTAGGATGTTTGTTTTTGTTTTGGTGATTTGTATAAGAACCCTCCTTAGGGTCTACCTTCTGATGATTGTTATTATAATGTATTAAAGTGGTTTGACTCGATACTTTTGAAGATGTAAATAGAATTTTTGGCAGTTGTATATATTATAAATAGTTCTCTTTTGGTTTAATATAATTTTGTTTGTTTTGTGTTTTGAGTCCTGGCGCGAGTTAGGCAGGCGTCCCGCCGATACCCTAGGGTTCGCCCTTGGGAGAAGCGGGGGCGTCACAGGTGGTATCAGAGCGCCTAGGTTAGAGGACTTGGGCAAGTGGGACATACGCGATAGGCACTAGGCATATTTGATTCTTTTAAGCTGAATGATATACTTTCAGCTGAAATGCCGGTGAACTGACGAATTAATGTTTTGTTGGTATGTATCCGGGCAGTTCGAGTAGTGCGGGACCTAGTGGCATGGGACCGAGACCTCCGAGTGCGAGGGGCCCAGAGGATCGAGCGCTGCGTAAGCGGGCGATCCGTTATCGGCAGAGACCTGGAGAGCCTTACACTTTGTACTCCCTTTTTGGTCAGGTGTCACACCGACCTTGTAGGTGTTGGTATACGTACAGTTATCCTGACGAGGTCGTCCTGGCAGTGGACGATGAGCGACGCAGCCTGAGTAGTCAGCTAGAGGAGGCCAGAGAGGTTGGCCATGAGCAGCCGATGCGTATTAGGGACTTGGAGCGGGGTCTCCGAGATGAGATGCAGAGGGTGGACGCTTTACGCCGTCAGCTTCAGGACACCCATCAGCACCTCTTCGCTTTGAAGAGGCAGCTGAAGGAGAGGGTGCGGAGTATTTCGATGGACTGCGAGGTCATTCTAGATATGGCCGCGGAGGCACCGCCTCGAGCCACCGGTCCAGAGGGGATGGACGAGGTGGACACGTTAGGTTCCGTTGGAAACCTGGGCCCTAGGGGAGGCGTTTAGGGTCGCTTTTATACTTTTGTTTAGCTAGTGGATTACCACTTTCTTTCGTTATTTGGTTGACTGACTAGATTTTTTGGAGCCGGTGCTCATGTGTACATTGGGTTTTGTACCGATTGGAGGTCGGTAATCTGTAAATCTTTTGGTGTGACTTTGTAAATATATGTATATATTTGAGTGGCATTTTGAACTTATCTCTTGTATGTCTTTTGTGCATACGCTTTACGTCCGTACTTTTGCTCATAGTTTGAATAATAAGTATATGTAACGTTCCGATCTATAGACTTGTGCTCCGAAATGGACTCCGGTGGTCAAAGTAGAGCTGGAGAGCAAGAGTGTATGCAATGGGTCAATATGAGGTGACTGACCCTTCGGCGGGTTTCGAAGGTATGCTTTGACCAAAGAATTAATTTCGAGGACGAAATTTTCCTATGTGGGGGAGATTGTGAGGCCCCAATCAGTTCGTAAGTTGATATTAGGGTTATTCATTATTTCGGTGTGGTGAAATTAGGGTTAAAGCTAAGGAGGAAACCCTAATCTCGGTTAAGATTGAAAACCCTAGTTTATGTATTAGTTTGAAATGGTTAGCAAACTCTAGATTAGCAAACCTCTAGTGTTACAATTTATTAGAAAGCTTAAGTGGAGTTTTATTTATCGCCCGCCTTTTTCTACATTTTCTTTATTAGAAAATTCCCCAGATAATTTTTATTGAGTAAATATAGGTTTTAGATGATTTTTCTAGTATCGGTTAGTTTTTGAGAAATTAAGAACATATATCGGACGTGGGACCCACTAGCGCGGAAAGTTCGAAAAAATTCGGCCAACTAGGTTAGGTTTTGGATACTGGAATTAATTTATCGGGTGTTAAGAGATAAGTAGAGGTTGCAATTTGGATTGATATGAGAGAGACAAGTTAGGTAGGTATTTAATAAAAGGTGACAAGTGTCACCATTTGAGTGGTCTACCCTTAAGACCACTATTCATGGTCTTACCAATTGACTAATTAAATAAAAAAAACAACCAAAAATTCTCCATTTCTTCTCCCTTGTTGGCCGGCCCTCTCTCTCAAAAAGAAAGGAAGAAACTCTTCAAGTTTTGCTTCCATTTTGCTTCAAATCATCAAAACCAACCATTGAAACTTGAACTTACTCCATAAAACCTCTTCAATTAGTGTTAGTAAGTTGTTTGGTGGAGTGATTTGGAAAGCTAGGAGGACCTCTTGCTCTCTCTCTCTTGTTTCTAAGGTGAGTTGTGAAGAACCACCCTTCTCCTCTAATTGATGCTTAAATCGTGCTTAGTGGTAGTATGAGATGCAAGTTTATGGATTATTTCTTTATTTGTGGTTGAAGTGATGAAGTTTTATTATTTTTGGGGATTTTTCTGTTTTAATATAAGCATGATTGTGTGGCTATCTATGATGATTGGCAATGGTATATAATGACTCTAGGAGGTGGAAAAAGTGATTAATTGCAACCAATTTCTGGTTTGGAAGAAATTTCAGAAAATTAGGGTTCTTGTGGGAGCATTCTGCCCGAATTTTTAGCTCCTATTTAGAGGCCGAATTGGCCTTGGATTAAAACATAAAAGTTGTAGGGAATGATATTTTAGAGGCTCCTACAAAATTTCAGGTCAATTGGAGTAGTGTAGAATGAGAAAAGTCAAAATTACTATTGCTGTTCTGGTTTTACCCGAATGTAAGAACTGCGCCTGTAATTGGTTGTTTTGGCTGGAATTGCTTCCGAATTGGTTGTCGAGGTCTTCTGATGAAATGTATCCCTGTTTCTTAGCTTTCAGCTGGTTTTGGAGTTTCTGGATTCGGACTTGGATAGCCTGATTTATGATGTTTCCGCTAGAATGCGTTCTGTGAATCTGTTTTTGTGATTCTGGTGTAGTATTTTGCATTTTTTACCTAGTTACCCTCGAAACTGGACTGAGTAGCCTTCTTCAACATTGTAGCCTCTTAAGTCCTGAATATATCTGCAAATTTTCCGGTCAAACGGATCTGTGTAGCTCGAGTTATAACCAAAACACTCGCACCTGTTTTGTACCCTGAAATTGTGTACGTTTTGAATTTCAGCTTCTGACCGTGCATTTTTCCGTTTTGATCCCGTACGATCTGGGTGTCAACTCCTTCATAAGAAATGTAGATCTTGGTTTTAGCTTCGAAACGGTATAAAGTACGTCGAAATCCGAGTTCCGTAGCTTCCGTTATAATCAAAACAAGATTGATCCTCAGAACTGCCTTTGATCTGGACAGTTCTGACGGGTACATTGGCACTCAATTTTTGTTCTATTCTGAATGGATTCAGGTCTTGGCTAAAACATCAAAGTTTTAGCCTTATGTCTCAGCTTTCTAGTGCCTTTGGAATTTCCTGATTTAGATTTGTGAGCTGGGAGTTATGTTCCAGAAAACATATCCTGTTCGTTACTATAGAGTGCGAATTTCTGGAACAATTTTCCATACTTTCGACCTATTTCTGTTCAGATCCGGATTTAGATGTCTTCATGAAAATTGTAGCCCTTCCTCTTAGCTTCGCAACGATACCTCATGTACCTTGATCCGACATTCCTAGCCTAACTTTTGATCAAAACGGTTTGAGAAGGCAGATTTGGCCATTTCCGTTTGCCGTTCTGCGCGGGCGCGTGCGCCCGTTTTGCCGTTTCCGCACTTGCATGTGCCGATTTTGCCGTTTTGCTTGTTTTAAGTATGTTAGTAGCCATTTGTGATATATTGTGACACAATCTTCAATTTCAGGCGTTGGTGAGCTAGGTGGAGCCGGTGGGGCCTACTAGCTACTCATCGCGGCACGGATTTCGTACTTTTGCTCTTTTGTTCGTTGTGTAAGTATTCAGGCCGCTCTTATGTGTTAGTTGCTTATGTGTTTCGATATGTATGAATAGGGTACCTAGGCGAGGGTGTACTTTATCGCACTCGACCTAAACCCTAATTTACGCACACATTTGTATGTGACATATGTATATGAATCATTTTGGAACTAAACCCCTTGAACTTGTGGCTCGGGGTGACTTTTGAGTAAATTTTGTGAAGTTTGTGAGTTTGGGGCCCGATCTCATGACTTAGATGGACTATTCGAGCCGGTTAGGGCTTGGTTGAAGTTAGTCCAACCTGGTTTGAGGTCACCAAGTTTGTGAATCCGGTTCACCGATTATGTGGACCAAGTTTGTGACCCGAGTTTGTGACCCAAGCTTGTGAACCAAGCTCAATTTCGTTCGCTCGAGCAAGTTTGTGAGGTGTCTGGCCAGAGAGGGTGATAAGGTGTACGGTGGGAGTACAAGTGAAGTTCTATGGGCCATTATTTGTGGTCGACGGAGTGTCGGCAGGAGGTCACACATTGCAAACGATCTGGCTTTGGAGCCACCTGTATCCTTATTATGTGATATTACTTTTCTGCTTTTGCTTTACTCTTACTGTGCAATTGTTAATATGTGAGATTTACGCTTTCGCCCCTGTTTACTTGCTAAGCATATAGCTTACCCCTTTTCTTTTGTTTTCCTTAGCAGGGGCCGACGCGGGGACTTTTGACACATACACTAGTATAGTTAGGTTTGTTTGTAATAGTCGGACAGCTAGGATGTTTGTTTTTGTTTTGGTGATTTGTATAAGAACCCTCCTTAGGGTCTACCTTCTGATGGTTGTTATTATAATGTATTAAAGTGGTTTGACTCGATACTTTTGAAGATGTAAATAGAATTTTTGGCGGTTGTATATATTATAAATAGTTCTCTTTTGGTTTAATATAATTTTGTTAGCTTTGTGTTTTGAGTCCTGGCACGAGTTAGGCAGGCGTCCCGCCGATACCCTAGGGTTCGCCCTTGGGAGAAGCGGGGGGGTTCGCCCTTGGGAGAAGCGGGGGTGTCACACTCAGTCTCTCCTCCAGACGTCACTCCCGTTTCTTTCTTAGCCTTCTCTGTTTTTCTCTCTACCTCCGCTCTCTCTCACTCTCTATCTTCCTCTCAGCCGTCACACACTCTTTATCTGCTCTCCCTTTTTCTTTCCGCCGTCACCCTTTTTGCTTCTTGCCTTTCCTCAACCGTCACACCAGATTTTTCTTCCCTTCCCCAGATCCTCTCTTTGCTAGCCTTTTATACCCCCCTAACCCTTGGCTAGACGATGGGATGAAGCTCCTTGCTTCATCTCCTTTGAGAACCGTTTGATGGTTCTTAATGCCCAAGGCAATTGAAATTTTTTAGATTGAAGCCAGATGATTGTACTATAACAATCCAACAGAGCCAAAAATGAGAAAATTTGATGAGGGATAGCTGGAGAAAAATGCAGCTGCAACCCTGTTTCTGTATTAGCCGAAGCAAAAAAAAATTGAAGGAAATGGCGCGAGTGCCTGCGCGTGGGTTTTTTTTTTTTTTTTAACAAATAAATAACAAACTTTCATAAATTGAATCTAAAAAATTTAAAGCATATTTTTGTGAACAATTTCTTTTTCCAATAAATTTTAATAAAAATTAAGAGACTAATGAGCAAAAATGAATAATAATGATCATTTAATAATAATAAATAAAGCTAAATTAAAATTTTGATATCTGAAATGCTAAAAATGTTTAAAAACAAAAACCCACGGGATTAATAAAATAAAAATAGATAATAATAATCGCCAATAAAAATAAAATAAAGAATAAAAATAGAAATAAATTAAAAAATTTGGTGTCTACAACTTGCCCCTTTTTGTCTGAGTTCGGAAGAAAGTCGAGACAAAGACGTAGACACCAAATACTTACCAGTAGTTATTCTGCCTTGAACTGAAAACATGAAAATGTAAAAGTTCAGTTGGTGAGATAATACCCGATCCCAACGAGGTATAAATGGTCAGCGGGATAAAACCTGGTCCTGCCGAGATTAGAAAACACGTTAGTAAGTTGGATCCAATGCTAACGGATATGAATAAAATGGCACATGTTAGTGAGTTGTACTCGATGCTAATGGTGAAAAGGAAAAAAATATGTTAAAATGGTCAGTAGGATGCAACCCAAGCCTGCCGAGGTTGGCGGGATAAAATCCGGTCCCAACATGATATAAATAGTCAGCGGGATGATACCCGGTCCTGCCATTCATTGGTCAGCGGGATGATATCCGGTCCTGCCACTCATTTCAACTCCAACTGAGATTCCAACTCGATAAAACGGTTAGTGGGATACTCCCAAACCTACCGATATTCCAACTTCAACAACCAAATCCAAACGGTTAGTGGGATACTCCCAAACCTATCGAGATTCCAACTTCAACTCAATAAAATGATCAGTGGGATACTCCCAAACCTACCAAAATTTCAACTCCAACTCAATAAAACGGTCAGTAGGACATACCCAAACCTGTTGAAATTTCAACTCCAACTGAGATTCCAACTCGATAAAACGGTTAGTGGGATACTCCCAAACCTACCGATATTCCAAGTTCAACAACCAAATCCATCATGACAAACGGTTAGTGAGATACTCCCAAACCTACCGAGATTTCAACTTCAATTCAATAAAACGGTTAGTGGGATACTCCAAAATCTGCCAAAATTTCAACTCCAACTCAATAAAACGGTCAGTGGGACATACCTAAACCTGCCGAAATTTCAACTCCAATTGAGATTCTAACTCGATAAAATGGTTAGTGGGATACTCTCAAGTCTACCGATATTCCAACTTCAACAACCAAATCCATCATGACAAATGGTTAGTGGGATACTCCAAACCTATCGAGATTTCAATTTCAACTCAATAAAACGGTTAGTGGGATACTCCCAAACCAGCCAAAATTTCAACTCCAACTCAATAAAACGGTTAGTAGGACATACCCAAACTTGCCGAAATTTCAACTCCAACTGAGATTCCAACTCGATAAAACAGTTAGTGGGATACTCCCAAACCTACCGATATTCCAAGTTCAACAACCAAATCCATCATGACAAACGGTTAGTGAGATACTCCCAAACCTACCGAGATTTCAACTTCAACTCAATAAAACGGTTAGTGGGATACTCCAAAACCTGCCAAAATTTCAACTCCAACTCAATAAAATGGTCAGTGGGACATACCTAAACCTGCCGAAATTTCAACTTCAACTGAGATTCTAACTCGATAAAATGGTTGGTGGGATACTCTCAAACCTACCGATATTCCAACTTCAACAACCAAATCCATCATGACAAATGGTTAGTGGGATACTCCAAACCTACCGAGATTTCAATTTCAACTCAATAAAACGGTTAGTGGGATACTCCCAAACCTGCCAAAATTTCAACTCCAACTCAATAAAACGGTTAGTAGGACATACCCAAACTTGCCGAAATTTCAACTCCAACTGAGATTCCAACTCGATAAAACAGTTAGTGGGATACTCCCAAACCTACCGATATTTCAATTTCAACAACCAAATCCATCATGACAAATGGTTAGTGGGATACTCCCAAGCCTGCCGAGATTTTAATTTCAACTCAATAAAATGGTCAGTGGGATACTCCCAAACCTGCCAAAATTTCAACTCCAATTCAATAAAACGGTTAGTGGGATATTCCCAAACCTACCGATATTCCATTTTCAACAACCAAATCCAACTCGATAAATGGTTAGTGGGATACTCCCAAACCTACCGATATTTCATTTTCAACAACCAAATCCAACATGATAAACTGGTAGTCGGATACTCCCAACCCTATCGATATTTCATTTTCAAAAATAGAATCCAACTTGATAAACGGTTAGTGGAATACTCCCAAACCTACCAATATTCCAAATCTAACAGGATAAAATGGTCAATGGTCAGTGGGATACAACCCAAGCCTGACGAAATTCCAAATCTAACAGGATA